CTCCTCCCTTCTTTCCCAAATGAAGGCTTTTGTGGTTTCGTAGCTCTGCGTGGTGCTCGTCAGCATCATAACCTCATTAAGGAGCAGCAATTATCTGAGTTTATTGCAGATCTGCCACCATACATGTAAGAGAATTAGGCTGACCAAACTTTAGGTAGTCTGTGCTATTACCAGCTGCATATATTTTCACATCATGACTTGAATGTCTTCAAAGCACAGAACTGTTCATGAATGTTTACTAAAACTTGCTTTTTTTCCTTTTTGCCTTCCAGCTTCCATGTCCTTAAAGCTATGCTTCTATTTTCCTGTGCAGCAAGTGTAAAACCACTGTTCCTTAAGTGAAGGCTGAGATTGTTATATGATCCCCTAAGTAAAAACTGGGGGTTAAAGCATAACTGAGATGCCAAATAACAAAAATAGCTATCAGGCTTGTAGAATTGCAGGATTGAGCTAGGGGTTTGCAATACATTCACAGGGGCTAAGGGATTAATATAGTTAATTTTGATTTTTATAGTTGTTTTCCTTAAGTATTGAAATACTGACTCTTGGTGCAGTCATTATTCCCAATGTATATATTCTGCTAGCTCAAGAGGTTTGAGGCCCGTGTGCTGTGGGGACAGCCCGGTGAAGGGAGGCAGAGAGTTAAATTATGCTTGGAAGAGGAAGTAATTAATCTGAAAACCAGGCTGGACAAAGGTGGTGTCAAGCAGAGTTTGTAGGGGTTTTAGTATGGTTCTTTCCTCTTTCATTTTTTACGATCTCCCCTTTTCCTTGTTTGTTCATTTTTCCAAAGCTGTTCTTTACAGATGACTTTTTTTCCTCATTGTTTTTTTCCTTCTTGTTGCTTTTGCCCGGAGAGAGTTTGAGCCAGATAAAACTGGAGCAGTGCCTTCCCTCTGTTAATATGCAGGTTGCTGAGGCAGTTCCTGGCTGCCCAGGCAGCAGGTTTGGGAATGTGGGTGCTGGAGGGAAGTGGGTTGGATGTTCCACCTCCCCTGCCCTGGGAAGGTCAATAGGGGCAGCCTGCCCTTACAAACCTCCAGCCCTGGGGACTGCAGTCTTGAACAGTCCTGTGCCTTTGCTGTTAGACAGGGTTTTTGTCCCTAGTCTCTGCTCTGAACCTATAATTCAGAGCAATTATCTTTTCTCTGCCTTGCTCACAGGGGGCTTGCAGACTGCTGTCATGTTTTATCCAGGTCTCTTCCTTCTCAGTCCTACCACTATGTTCTTATGGGTCAAGTGCTTTAGATCTGACTCTTCCTGTCTTCTGCACCGTGTCTTCCTTTTTGGCTTGCAGTAGCCTTGTTTGTGCATCTTGGCACAGGTTTTGCTTTTGTCTGCTGCTTTTTTGCTCTCCTGGATGGCAACAGCCAAATACTGAAATGCAGCAAATGTTTCTAATATATTTCACCCTATTATTTCCACCCTCCTGCAATTTGCCAGTATCATGTGTGCTCTCTCTGTCCTTCGCATAATTGCAGCCTTCAAAGCTGACAATATCAGCAAGTTTTATAAGCCCATTCTCCAGTCCATCATTAGTGCAGGTAGGTAGTGAGTGGCGCTGGATAGGCAGGGCCTCCTTGACACATCTATTTTGCAGTTGAATCATGGATAACTGTGCTTGGTGTGTGTTTGCATCCAGCTTGTTGCACATTAACCTGGATACATTCCTCAGCTTGCCTATGGGAATGCAAACAGTGTCCTCATGGAAACTCTGGCCAAGAGGTTAAATAGCTCTTACTGAGCAGCGCCGTATAAAGCAATTTGCAGAAGCTTTCAGAGGGACTTAGTATGTCCCATCTCTCTATCTGACCCCTCCCTACCTAGGGCTGGGTTTATCCCATGCCTTCTGGCTCTGCAGTGGCTGGCTGTGACAGGGGAGCTCAGTTGCTGCCTGGATTTGTGGGGCTTTTGGCAGAGCTGGAGGCAAGTCACATTTTCCCTCTTGAGGCCATAATCTGGCTTGAATCTTGGCAGGGGGGGATCTTGCTGCTGGGTCTGAATTGGGTCCAACTGAATTTGGACTCTGCTTTATCCCACGGCTTGTCTGTGGCAGCTGTGAAAACAGCTTTTAAAAGAATAATTAGAAAAGCCCTCAGTTATGCAGCACTGCTGTGGTCCTCAGCAAATAATCGTTGCATACACTGGTTAATTGTTTATCCATTAAGTGACTGCGTCAATTAATCTGACAAGAGGAGCCTGGCTGTACCTGGCACGGAGGGGAGGAGGAGGAGGGAGGATGCGCATCCTGTCCGTGTTGGCTCCTGTCCGCATGCTCTTCCTCCAGCCCTGTTGCTGTGGCATTTGTCTGCAGGTTTTCTTCAAGTGTAATTGCTGGCACATCACGTACAAGGTGTATTTGGGTTTGTGTTCTCTTTTCCTTGTCTTCTGGAAAGCACATTAAGTTTCCATGAAGCAAGAGCATCTCTTCAGCCTAAAAGAAGCAAACTGTGTTTTGTTTCTAAATGTGAAATACAAAGCAAGGTGCTGCTTTATTTCCAGCTAGGTGGCCATAAAAATTCTTAGTGTGGGGTAGGAAATAAAATAGGTGCAGAGTGGGGAAGTGCTACTGCCTGGCATGTGGCAGCTCTGGGCTCCCCTCTACTGCTCTTGGGGTTATCTGGGAGGCCTTATAGCGTGGCCTCCCTCCTGGGAATGCTGTGTATGTGTGCCTGCTTTGTAGGGAGAAAATCAAACACCCAGGGCCAGTCTATATCTGGTGGAATGACTTCACTGCTAGCAGGAAATAAAAGTGTACCTTGTGTGCTCTGAGTAATTAACGTTCCCTGCAGTATGTTGTTAGTAATAGGTAAAGTGTAAAACTTCTGACAATGAGAACTGGCTCTCCATCCAGCTGCGGTGAGGGCAGTGTGGGGCAGCACTAATGACAAGTTCCTGCTGCAGGGAGGCTGTGCAAGCTGGGTGGCATCAGTGCCTTCATAGTCCCATGCTTCAGTACAGCTCCACCTGCAAGGATGAATGCAAATTCCCTTTTTGCTCTCCCCAGACAGAAGGGGAATGAGGTACCTAGGAGAACACACATGAGTTGTTCAGGCAGATCTCTTCAAGTGACATGCCAGCCCAGTGAGCCCCAGTCTGGTCTTAAAGCCACCTGTGCTGCAGTGGCATTCCCAGCCATCTGTGGAAGGTGGCAGAGCCACCAGCACCCTCAGAGCCCTCACTGCCAAGGTGAAGCTGTGTTTCTGCATTTGCTTTGGTATAATAAGGAGAGATTGACCCAATTTTTCTTGATTCAAGTCTATATGCAAATGTATTTTTTTTTTTTGTGAAGACAGCTCATTTTAACATGTTTTTGAGCTTACATGATATCAACCTTATGTAGTTATAAAACTATGTACTTGTTTCAAGAGGAAATGATAATAAAGAATGTTCTTTCAAAAGCAGCTAAACACATGAATTATTAAAATGTTACATTATTTCCAAATTACAGCATATCCAGCTCTTTCTATGGAGCTCACTCAAGAATAATTGCAGTGTTCTCTGCAGAATTTAACATCAGAAATGTTGCACTTTTTTCTTTTTTAATCATTCTTTTACACAATGTAAGAGCTTCCACAAGTATAAATGGGCGTCCTCATATTTGGGCATCCTATATTGGCTTCTGTGAAGCATTGCCTGTTTGTCCCATCCACATTTTTTCAGTGTAGCTGTCGAGCTGTGATGTTTATTGCAGAGCACAGCAAAGATTGAAGGGGCTTTTTATCACGGAGGTGTCCAGGAGCTGGAGCTTGGCTATGTGCAGGACCAGCAGCTGGGTCTGCAGCCGCATGGTGAGTTGCAGAGCCTGGAGGAGGAGGAAGCAGCTTTGGAAATCCTCGCAAGCACTGGGAACTTGCACCAGTGTTCATGGACGTGCCTTATGTCTTGATAGCGTGTTTGGGGTTTTTATCCTTTTTTTTTTTTTTTTTTTCTTCCTTTTCTTCGTTCCTTGTTGTTGTCCTGAGTCAGGCTCCTGGCATGGGTGGGTGGGGATGAAGGTGGGAAGTGCTGTAGTCATCAGTGCCCAAACACCTCCAACTGTCACTGTCTGACTGCCCTGAGCAGGCTACAGCCTTCACACTGCCCACTGTCCCCATCACAAAAGGGGGGTGGGCTGGTCCCCTCCAGACACCTGTGCTGTGTACAGGGTGCGAGCTCCTTGGGGGTGTCTCGGAGGCGTGAGCACAAGGATGAGCTGCAGTGTCCACCTGTGCTCCTAGGCTTTCTGTGGGCATCCGGATGCCCCTGACCCTGCTCTGCTCCCCTCACAGGAGCCTTCATGGCTGTGACTTTTGAGCCTGCTGAAAGAATGGAGCCATGGGAGAGCACAAGACATGCAGATATCATGGGCAGTTGTGTCAGATGCATAGAAACAGAGGAAATCTCAATAATGCCAGGCATTCATATCGCTAGTTCAATCATGAAAAAAATGCCTACTGATTTTCTAAGTGAGCTTTTTCCTCTGCGCAGCTTAACCTGGCAAACACAATGCCATGTGGATTATGTCTGGGATTTGGCCAGGCATTATTATGGTTTGTGCTTTTCCTGGTGAATTGTCATTATTGCAGAGCTAGCTGAGATGGTCAGGTGAGTTGCTGTAAAAGCTTCCTTGCTTTCCCTTTGAAATCAATATGTGAAGGTATTCCCAAGCCACAACCAAGCCCTTGCAATTTTTTTTCGTAGCTGGGAAGTGAAATATTACATATTTTGTATTTTAAAGTACAAATGGATATGAGTCCTGGGGTCACTGGCACTGGGGAAAATTCTTTCTTGTAGCCTGAATCTACCTGTGCTTTTTCACTGCTCTGGGCAGTGGTTTCCTGTAGCTGCAGGGCAGGGTGTTTTGTATCTGGTGTGTTGGATGGGGATAATGGGATGAATGAGGGTAAAGGCGCTGAAGGGAAGACAGGGCCATGCACTGCCAGGGTTTTCCCTTGGCCCTGCTGTGCTAAGGTGTTGGAGAGGGAGTGATGACAGGCCTGCCTCTTCCTTCTCCCCAGTGCCTCGTGGCTCCAGTGCATCAGTCCCTGAGATGTCACTGAGAGCTGAAAGCAATGCCGCTACATCAACGCTGAAGAAAGTCGCTGCAGACATGAGCAACATCATCGAGAGCCTGGACACCAGGGACCTCCACTTTGATGGGGAGGAGGTTGAATCGGAGGTGCTAAATGACCCAAAAGGCACCGGTGAGTTGATGCCTGTGTGTTTTCACCTCCCATCCTGCCTGGATATACCGTATCTGTCAATAGATAGCATACCTCAGTGGTTTTACCAACCATTGACCCTGCTCTAGGACCACGAGGCCTTTAGCACTTCAGCTCGTCAAGTCCCTTCTGTGAAAGCTTGTCTTTAAGCTGTTAAATAAAACCTGGTATATTTTAGTGGAATTTATGTTGCTGTGTAAATGTTCCCCTGTTAAAACATTGCAGCTATCTGCTGGCTTTCATGGCCTCCTTGATCATTACAAGGCTGTTGAACTAATGGGGTTTGTGTTCCTTCCAGTGTGTATTCCTTTCTCTGCCATCTATCACACCCATGGGTTCAAAGAGCCAGGCACGCAGACGTACCTCACGGGATGTCCTGTTCGAGTGCGTGTGTCGGAAGTTGAACGCTTTACTTCCACAAAGAAGGTCAGAAATTCAATTTGATTTCTGCAGAACTGTATTAAAATGCTGTTTATGGGTTAATTTTGCATGTGCTTGTTCATGGGCTGAAGAAGCAGGAATGCTTGTGTCTCAGAAAGCACTTAAGAGAGGTTACCTATCTGTTTATAAAACCTAATGAAACAGAACAAGAAATGGTGAGACAGTGATCCTTAAGTAGAAATGAATGAGGGCTCTTTAGATGAGCAGCTGCAGGAAAATGACTTATTTCAAAGCTGCATCTCCTATGGTGGGATTCTCCTCGGCAGGTACCAAGCCCCAATGTTTACACCATTGAGCTGACCCATGGAGAGTTCACCTGGCAGGTGAAAAGGAAGTTTAAGCACTTCCAGGAGTTTCACAGGGAGCTGCTGAGGTACAAAGCCTTTGTGCACATCCCTATCCCGACCAGGAGGTGAGTGTGGAGCCCTTTGGATGTGATCAGCTTTGGGGAGATGTGATCTTCTTTTCTCTTTTAATAGCTTATAGCTTTGGCTTCACTGATCCCATTTACTTTGCTATAAGGAGAACAGGGCAGGAGAATTCAGTCTTTACAAATACTTAGCAGCTATAATAAAGACATTTAATTTCTACCTATTTAGCAGCTATAATATAAGTGGTACAGGCATGTCTCTTCCTTCTGCAGAAAGCATGCTGGGTCCCAGACCATCAGCTTTAGAGCTGAATTTACTTTGAAGCTGAAGAAGGGTTGTGCTAATGAAAATTGTTGGTGTACTGTGACTCTCTGCCAGCATGGGGTGGATGTGGGATGTACAGGGGTCCTTGGTATGGATGGTCAGCCCTGCCAAGGCTGGTCTTGGTGCTCAAGGTAGCTGGAAGTGTTATGGGGAAGAGAAAGTGGTGTAGGTCAGCAAGAGGGGTTAAAGGCTGGGGGAACATAGTACTCTAAAAGTAGGATTTAGGCTCCCTTTCTTTATAAGAGCTAAAGGGGACCCTCAAAAATCGAACTCTGCTACTTGTGTTGTATTTCTGTTTGTGAGCCAGTTGGAGCATCCTGGCTTCTCAAATGAATCCATTCTTGCTTTTTTTTTTTTCTGCTTTCCTGCCCTCCCATCTCAGTTTTTAAGAGCTTGGGTAGGAAAAATTAAAACGTTGCAGAAGAATGGTTACATATTGAGGTGCACACACGCTTGCAGCGCTCAGACTTGTTGGGGCTTCTTTTCCTTCCAGTCACACGGTGAGAAGACAATCCATCAAAAGGGGAGAACCGAGGCAGATGCCAAGTCTGCCGCACACAGCGGAGAGCACGGTGCGGGAAGAGCACTTCTCCAGCAGGAGGGTAAGCAGCCGGCACCGTGTGCAGGGGCCAGAGCAATGCACTGGGAAAACTTGAGGTGCAGAGGTGCCAGGCAGGTTGCTTGTAAAGCTGTGTGCTGCCAAAGCCCTTGTTTTATTACCATTCAAGTCTTTTGCTTGACAAACGTAAGCTTTGACAAGTCCAGAATGCCAAATCCTCCTCCATGCAGAGAGGAAGATGCTGTTCCCAGAGTTCATATGTACGAAGTTTTCCTCTGCAGTTGAGGAAAACCACGATGCCGAGAATGGCGGTTCCCCGCCTCCCACCTGTTCCGATTTAAAGATAGAAAAGGCAGTTCAGAGTCAAGTTGCGTGATGGAAGCAGCCCCTCGGCCATCAAAATCTGGGAGATTTCAGTCCTATTCCCCTCTGAAAGAGGAGATGACAGTCAGGCTTTCGATGCTGAAGTGGGTAATTTTAGCTGAGGCACACGTGTTCTATGTAACTTCATCAGATGTTAACAGATGGGCCCTTCTATGAAGAGGGCGGATGTCTTCCTACCTCTTCATTGCAGCTTTGCTGTTTGGAGAGGAGAAAATTAAAAAATAGAAAAAAGGAAGAAAGAGCCTGTACAATAATCCCCTGTTTGTTCACCCTGTGCTTATCACTCTCTCTCTGCTCTTCACTTCCTCTCTGGGCTTTCTGTCACTGAAGCCTCAAGCCCCAAAAGGTTGTCTTGTGGGTGTGCTGTGCAGATAACCCTCCCTGCTGTGCATGGCTGTGCCACTGTGCGGGAAGCTTCAGGAGAGAGATGTTAGTTTAAAACAGGAAAAAAAAAATGTTTTAAAGATCCTTACCCCTCTGTTGGTTTCCTTGTGGGAATCCCACAACTTGTACCATGAGGGTGTTTGCAGTATTTATACCAGCTGGATATCTCAGTGTTGCAATGCTAGCGCTGAAAAGGATGAAGATCTCAATGGCATTCATTTCTTTTTGGTTTGTTTTGTATCCTGTAGGACTCTGCTCAGTTTCCCATGGGTAAACAGCTTAATCTCTTCTTTGTCCAGTTACTATGAGAATGGGTGAAGGTTCTCTCTCCCGTAATGGTTTCTTCTTTTCTCCCCTCCTGGCTGGGGAGGACAGGCTCTCCAGTGAGCAGTGGCCCAGCCACTGCCCTCTCTGTGGCTTTGGGACAGGGCAGCATGGTCACTGTGCTCCTTGCCCCTGAACCTGGTGTTTTGGTTAACCAAAAATTTACTTAACCAAATAGGCACCTGAGGGTGTGTTTACTCACAACGCTAATTCGTGTGGGTGGAAACAGTGGGGTCTGATTTTTGCATTTAAGCTTGTTCTGAAACTTGGGCTCAGTCAAGAAAGCTGACGGTGCCAAGGTGGAAGGTACATACATGGGTCTGTGAACAGCAAACAACCTGTTATCAAACTGTTTATGCTGCGCAGCTATAATCTTCCATGAGCACATAATGATGTATTTATCCGTTCAAGCTGAAAAGTGTCTGATTTCTTGATTGCTTCCTAATGATACAGTTGGATTGTGTGGGGTTTTTATTCTTGAAAATTCCTGTTCCTTTGTAAAGTTTCAATGTTTTAATTGTAGAAACAGCTGGAAGACTACTTGACAAAGATCCTAAAAATGCCAATGTACAGGAACTACCATGGAACGGTAAGTAGCGGTTAGTTTGCTTAAATGCCTAAAGAATATTCACTTTAGAGATTTCAGAAGAAAAAAAGTTTTCAAGTTCCTCCCTGCCCCCTCCTACCCCCCGGTTTCCTTGTGGGAATCCCACAACTGGACCACAGCGATGCTGAGTGTGTATGAGTGATACCCATTCAGCTCTGCGGGTGGTTTGTCACTTCCAAAGGGAGAGATGGTATTTGGCTTATTTCCCTAAGTCAATAGTCTTTTTGAAACAGGGAGAGATGTCAAATCTAACTTCAGGCCTATTTTAAGCAAAAAAAATATTTCCTTTGAAAGCCATCCTAGAATATTTCTTCAGTATTCCTTACCTGTCAGCCGCAGCTGTAACATCTCCCTGAGATGGTAATTTATTTCCCCTTTTCTTGGCTGCATAATGACTGTGTTACTCTGTCTTTTGTATTATCAGCAAAACCTGATGCATGCATTGAGTAGCTGCAGAGCTAAGTGACATTTCTGAGCAAGGAGTGATAACTGGGAACACTTGGTTTTCAAACAAGCCAGAAATGTAGACTGAATTTATGGTTTCTGTAGCAGCCAGTTCTTCTCTTTAACTGTTGTTGTTTGGTAGGTTGTTCTGCTCTTTTGCAGATTTCACTTGTATAGAGATATTGGGCAGCTTGTCTCTGGAAAGCTGTGTGTTCTTACTGCAGTCTGTTGAGCACTGCCTGTTACATGGGGTGAAGAGTCCCTTCAGTGTTGGCTGGCACACTTTGGGCTGGCTGTTGTGCTTTGGATTGCAAAAAATCTTCATACTCGGGATGAGATAACTGTGCCCTTTACAGAATGCTTCTCTGGGGACAGGCTGCGGAGCTTAAGTCCAGTGTGGAGCTTAAGCCCATGTAAACCAGCAGGAGCTGTGTTAGTTTACATGTGGAAAACAGTAATCTTTTGTTCTGAAGACAGGATGGGGATAACTTGGCAATTTTGATCAGTAGCATATGCAAGGAGGGGGAGAGTTATTTTGTCGTGTGGATCCATCTTGTCACTCTCAGGCAGGTGTTGCTTGTTTCAGATATTTTGGAGAGTTTCTGCGGTGTAAGAGCCTGGGTGATCCTCTGACCAGGCTCTTGTTAAAGGCAGGATGCTTCAGCAGGGGCCAGGCAAGGAGATGGGCAGTCCTGCCTTGCCCAGCCAGCTGTGGGGTGCATCCCTCAGCTGCTGAATCGCCCTTCTGTTCCTGGTCCAGAGACAGATGTCATTTTGCACATACATTTTCAGTTTATTGTTGGCATTCACTGGATTTGGCTGTGTTCAGTGAGGACTTTGCTGTTACTGGTGGCAGCGTTACTAAGTGTGGCAGATCCTGCAGGCAATGCTGGAAGAAAGCACAGGGAGAAGAATGTTTTCTTTAAAAAAAAAACAACACCGAAACAAGCCCCACCATTCTCAGACTAGGGACAAAAGTGAAGATTTCTGGCATTTCCTTTGGAGCTGTGTTTGTCCTCCTTAGAGCAAAGCCGTCATTTTGTTCTTCCTGTGGTTAAGAAGTCTTTTGCCTGGACACTGACGCATGCTGAGACTGTCCTAATATTGGAGCGCATTTTGATTGCCATATGTTCCTGTCATCAAATCCGTGCACCAAGGTGGTTGGTTTGTTTTTTTTTTTTTTTAAATCCTAAATTCTCTGTAAAGTCAGATATGGAGTTTCAATGGCAAGCTGCGACCTGTCTGGTGTGTAACCCTTGGTCCTTGTGAAGAGCCTGCTTGGTTCAATTGCATCTCTTTGGAGCTGTTTTTACACCTGACCTGTACCATTTAATTAATTCACTTCTTAAATTCTTTTATTTTGCACTTGTGGTTAATGTATTATTTGTCAGTGGGAGGATCACCACTTTATTTATACACTGCCTCAAGGATGTGCCATGCACTGGGATAGTTGAGCCTCCAAGTTGAGCTTATAGCAGTTTTGCAGACCTGAAGTCCCTGGTGGATTCAGGATCAGGTCCATGGTGGCCACATGAAATCGTTGAGGCTGTACATCTTCAGCCTTTCTAGGTGACCCTCATGCAGGCTGTGGAAATAGAACCTAGTGAAGCAGCATCATTTAGACACGTACTAAGTGCCCCTTGCTTTGACTGGGTAACCCTGACAAAATTTACAGCCTTCTCATGTTTCCCTTTATTTCTCATAATTTGTTGTAACAGTATTTTGTGTGGAGTTCACAAATAAGTTAGGAGATGCATTATATTTTGTGATCAGACCCTTAGACTTCATAGCCTTTATAATGTAATTTTTATTTTTCCTTCTGGCTATGTTAAATCATACTAATGATTTAATCTCATGTCTTCTAGTGCTTTCCAAAACCTTTTTACAGTACTTCTGGGTTGAGGTGCTTCAAGCCAACTGCTGTTAAAATAGATGCGGGATTCTCAGTGTGCTTGTTGTCCCTGCTTTTTTTTCTGAGAAATAGAAACTGGGTGAATATAGCCCAAAAACATTTGAAAAGGGGGCCTGTGAGCTTGACTGTATTCCATGTAAAAATCTATTTTGCAGCATTTTTTGGTATGAGCTGCAATAGTTGAAAGATGCCTAAGCAAAATAAAAAATGAGATTCAGTTGAACCAGAGTGCATGTCTGTAACATTTTGTGTGAGCTTTAGCGAGTGTAAAAACCTTATCTTAGGTGAAAGCAGTCACAGTGTAAGAGCAATGTAGATATGTGAGAGCGGCTGCTGTTTTGCCTCTGATATGACACTTGGATCTGCAGACATTGCAAAGGTCCCCACCCAACTCTTCAGTATTTTTAGTTATTGCACTTGAACTTTAGCATGTTTATTTTTCTTAATTTATATTTAGTGTAAGCCAGTTCTTTTGTGCACGGAATAGCTGGCATCTTCTGCTGAACAGCATTGTTCTGAAGAGTGGTGTAATTCCATTTTATTGCTAGCCACAGGTGGTAAGCAACTCTGTGGGGTTTTAAACCCACTAATTTAAAAACAAGAGTCAAAATGAAAACAAAATGTAGAGCTGCTGAATTCTTCCTGAAGCACAGATATGCTGTGCAATTCTTGCTTACACAGATCATGCATGCTCAACATTGCTGGTGGAAAGGGATGGTTTAAAACCATGGCTTGTGCACCTTGCAGCTGGTTCGTCACCTTTCATAGCTTGTCTTTCTGCAGCTGATCACTCCTGCCTGCCTGTTTTAAAATTATTATCATCTTTCCTGCTACGACAATGTCATTGAAGCTGCATTCTCTGGGCCTTATCTCATAATTCAAATATTCTGCTGCCGATTGCTCTGAAACCAGAGTGGGATGCCAGCTCCCTAGGGAGGCAGCTGGGCAGCGCAGGAATTCAGATGTGAGGAAGATGAAAGTGCCTTGCTGCTCTGCATTCCCCTCTCAGTTGTTCTGTGAATGATGAGCACCTCGGATGAAAGGCACTGTGACAGTAAAAATAGCTAATGCGGCAATAATAATAATAATAATAAATCATTTGATCAGATATGTTCCACTGCACTGAGGACTCTTCCTTCTAACTGGTGGAATTTATTTATGAGTGTTTCTGTACTTTTACAAACCAATGCTTCTAATTGGTGCTGCCTGATGAACATGTTGGATGGGCTGCTGTCATCATCCTTGCCATTTCAAAGACTCCTTGGCTGGAGAGCAGGTTGCTGCGCTGCCAGACAGTCTTTTCATTTTAATGTAGTAGTAGTTCTGTTTCTGTGAGTAATATTTTATCCTGTTTTTTCTCTTCACTTCTTTGAGAACAATTACTTCTCTGCATGCAGTGCTCCTCAAACGGCTGCCAGCTTTCTGGTTGCAGCCAACGTTTTCAAAGGGGTTTGACAGTCATATGCGGGTGTTTTTTGTGTGCCCACTGTGAGAGAGATGTCTGGTTCCCTGATTTGTCTGGTTGGGAATGCCAGGCATTTTCTGAAGAAATGAAAATGGGATCCTAGGCAAAGAACTGGCCTGAGACTTCACTTGGGACCTCTGATAAGAGCTTGTAGGATACAATGGGTTTTCAGATGCTCCCCATCCCTAAGCATCACTGCAGAAACAGCTGAAATGTTTTTATGTCACACCAGGTGCTTTTCCAGAGAGTGTAATAGGTGAGGTGATAGCAAGATTGTTGGTAAAAGCATGGAATAACTTCTTGCTTTCGGAAAACAGCCTGAAGTCAACCAAAAATTAGGGCATTAAATTTGCCTCTTCTGAATAGAGGTTATTTTATGTCCTTGAGCTACTTGAAGGAGAAAAATAGGTCTTTTGTTCTTTTCCATAGCTTTATTGATGTGAGAAGTTTGGGAAGGTTCCAGAAGCAGCCGAGCATGAGGAGGAAGGATCTTCTGTCCTACTGCTGCTTCTGGGAGGCAAAAGCAATGGTGCTGGGAAGGGAGCCTGAGCCAGCCTCACCATAACTGCAAGATAGACTTGTGCCAAGTTTGCTGGTACTCTTTGTTAAACCTAGTGTTTGAAAATACCTGAGACTTACGGGTCCACCCATGTAATTCCTGTGCAAAGTCTTATTTTTCCAATGGGGTCCCTGAGGTGGGTTTGCCAAAGGGCAGGTGACAGTGGCCACGTTGGCCACCCCTTCCTTGGGCTCTGGCACTTGAGCTGTTGTGGGGCTGGCCCCAAGGCTGTCTCATGTCCCAGCTGTGGTTGGGAGTGTGGGTTGGATCCTGAAGTTTGGTCCCAGCAGGCTTCGTTGTCAAAACATGTTTTGAGGGTTCCCTCTGGCTTGCTGCCTGACCAAAGGGGAGAGCATCTCCTACCCTCACCCTGCCCTGAGCACCTTTCTGCGCTTGGACAATTTTATGAGTAATAAATTACAAGTGCCTGGGTGCAGACAAGCCTCTGCCATGCAAGACAGCTCCTTCTCAAGACTGTTCCCACACAGTCCTGCACAGGATGCCTGGGGCAAGCATTTCTCCCTGCTATTGGAGGCTAGGGCTAGCAACCAGCAGACTGTCGGGAGCACCCTGCTGTGCCAAGAAAAGCCTCCTTGGTCAAAATCCCTTAGTGTCCTATTTTTAGAGGTGAATGTAATGGTGCTGTGTTTTCTCACAAGCTTTGCTTGTTGCTACATTCCTCTGCAATCTCTGCCGAAGCAGGAGGAGCCGCAAGGAGGCAGGTTGCTGGAATATGCTGGTAAAGCTGATAGTGTGGCACATAGGTTCCCCAGGCTGTGCCCACTGTGGAGATCTATGCAGACCAGTAGAAGTCATGGAGAGTGCACTTGAATGTGTTCTCCTAACCCGCTGTGGCTTTCCTGTGGGTTTTTGGCTTTTGAGACAAGATGGGGCAGTGGCATGTGTACAGCACTGAGTGGGAGTGACCTGCTGCATCTTGGAGGATGTTCGTGGGTTGAGGGGCTGAACCCCCATGTGGTGTGTGTCCATGGGGTAGGAGATTCGAAGGGAACAGGATGCTCCCAGCCCTGGGGACATGTGCTCATTCCTTTTCCAGCCTTCCTGTGACGGTTACTGAAGAGAGGAGAGGATTCAGGCAACCAGCCAAGTTCACACAAGACCCCTAAACAGTGTCAAACTTGAGTCCTCGTTTCAGCCACTGATCCAGGATGGAGGATGCTTTTGGGTCCCTGTGATAAACTTGTCTTGATTGTCCTGGTTGCCTGAAACATGTTCTCCAAACCATGTTTAAAATTAGCAAACAAACCAGCCCAGCCAAGCTACGTGGTCATCTAAAGATGCTTAAGTTACTTCTGCTCAGGATCTTCTGTAGGTTCTGTCTTTATGACAAGTCACTTTGATGAAACAAAGGTTTTTGTGGATTTCAGAGTATGAAAGATAGGGTAATCTTTCTCTTTCCCCAGATGGAGTTTGTTGGAGTAAGCCAGTTGTCGTTTATCCATGACCTGGGACCAAAGGGCATGTGAGTTGAGCTCTGTCTTTGGGTTACGATTCACCAAGAACATGGCTTTATAAGTAAATATTGTTCAAATTAATAGCTTTCCGAAAACTGACTGGGGAATGTTTTGCCATCTGGACAGAAAAAAATTATTGATGTTCACACAGAAAATACTACAACTTTGAGAAAGGGCTTTGGGAGCGGGCTGCTCTGAGAGGTGTGGGCTGCAGCTTCTTTCTCCCCTTCCCTCTCTGTGACCTGTAAGCCTGCTTGTGCTTCTGCTTGTGCTATAAAACAGGCCCCTGCATTTCTAAAATCCGTATTATTTACTTCGGGGGGGCGGGGGGTGGTGGGTATTTTTGCCCTTCTACCAGCTTTCAGGGCATGGCACAGAGGCAGCAGAAGCCATCCCTGCGCTTGGAGGCTGGGGGCTTCAGCAAGCATCTGAGAGACCCTTGCATTTCTAGGTGAGCTGTGCTACCCATCCTGACTGTGTTTCTGTCCTTGCAGAGAAGGGTTCATCATGAAGCGCTCTGGGGGCCATCGCATACCTGGCTTGAACTGCTGTGGCCAAGGGAGGATGTGCTACCGATGGTCCAAAAGGTACTGCTGGAATGGGCGAAGATGGCAATGCTGTGTCATCCTCAGGCACATGAAAATGCTCATTTGCCTTTTTCAACCAGAAAGTCTGTGAGGGAGACCTTTGCTTTTTTACAAACGCCACAGATTTTCAGGTGAAAGGGTGCCCCCCTCATCCTCCTGTGTGGAGGTTAGTGAGGTTTTTTGTTCTGCTTTGGAGATGATAGGAGGGACTGCCATATAGAAAAATTGGAATTTCCTACAGCCCCGAGCTGGCAGAAATGGCAATAATCCCTCAGTCTGTGCCCAGCTTTCCCTGCTGTGGGAGCATCCAGGGGCTCTGCCTTCAGAAGGGGAAGTGGCTGGTGACTCCACCTTGGCCAGATTCCAGCACGGTTTTCTGAGCTTGCCTTCCTCAATTTACAGAAGGAAAATCAATTAATTGAAACACTGTTTGGACTGCTTTGTAGCTGGATTAAACCACATGTGACTTGTAGCAGGAAGGAGCTCGGTCTGGTGAAATTAACCTTGGAATTAAGTATGTCACCTCTTCCTTATTACTGCAGGTGCTTAAATGCAGGTGTTTTCTTGCTATGTCCCTTCCTGCTGTGGACAGATATGACTTACTGTCCCCATCTGTTTACCTTTTGTGTTGGATCTCCATGTCCCCAGGGACTGCGGTACAGAGAGGTGTGTGCGATGGAGGAGTACGTGTGTTACCAGCTAGCATCCAAAAATCACAAGGGATCCTTCCTGGGCTTGCCCTTCCTGGGCAAATCTTTCCTTTTGAAAAAACAAACAGCACGTACCTGCCCTACAGCAACAATTTCTTGGTCTGTAAGAGCTTCCCTGAGCATTATCCACCTTTGGATTTTAGCATCGGCAATGGGCTCTCATTAATTTTATCTAAAAAAAATCCTGTTTTCCAACAAAATATTTTTGCATTCTTGTGAAGAAAGGTTCCTATTTCTTCAGTCTTTCCAATATTTCTTAATGTCATTTTACAGAAGATCTCTCCAATGAGTGCACAAGGAGATGAAAAGGTGACCTTCTTTCAGGTCCCATCACTAAATTGTCTAAAATTTTTTTTTCTTTCTTTTATGGAAATAGCAGCCTATTCCTTGTGATACCCCTCAGTTAACTCTTCCCTATGTTACACAGAGCCCAAGCTTTAGTAGGGGCACTAGCCTATTTAGCTTGGATAGATCTTGATTTTCCTTTAGCGCCTAAAAGTTGGATGGGAGAAGCATTTGAGTGGAATTGTGTGCAGAGTAACACAAGAGGGGCAAAAAATGCCTGCCAGGCCTGACAGTGTATGCATCGATATGTAAGCAAATAAATAACCCTCTCTGGGAAATATTACTGTTAAGTGAAGGATTTTAGGGCACATCAAGCTGGAGTAGAGCTCCCCCCTCAGCATGAGGCAGACTGCAGCCAGCCTTTTCCCACAGCAGCTTTGCTGCAGGCGTTGGGTTTTATATACTCCAAATTCATTTCACTTATTATAGTAGGTTGGGTGGTTTATGGCCATGGGGGCTGTGGAAAGAGATGTGGAGGAGGACAGTGGGGTGATGCTGTGAACAGGCATGGTAGGGGCTTCTCTGCATGCAGAGCTGCCTGGGAGAAAAAGGGGAAATGTAACCCATGATGAAATTATGGGCCAAATTAGGGAGAGGGGAGGTATTTTGGCACCAAATGAGAGGTGATGCTGGGATAATTCTTTCAGGGCCCTGAAAAAAATAAAAACTATGGGATCTGGAGGCAGATGAGGAGCTGAGGCTGTTACTAAATGTACAAGAATGAACAGATTTTTGTGGTGGTTTCTGTTGCTTTGTGTATTTCTGAGTGTGCAGGAGAATGAGGTGAAGGTCTGGTGGTGGAAACCTATGGGACAGAGGGGGCCAGTTATCCCAGTGATGCTGCAGGGGGATTAAAAATTAGAAATGCCATTCACAATAAAAAAATGTGGGGTTTTTCGCAGAGTTGCCTTCAGGCTACAGTATTTACGTAAAACCTGCCGGTCATCTCTCATCATGTGTTTCTAACAAGATGCATGTTGCTTGGCAATAAAAGCTTTCCAAAATGACTTTTTCTGTATCTTTTGATAGCAGTGAAAGTGATCCTGACATCATACTTAATGTTAGAAATGTCAGCTTCTGTATAGCATGCAAGCTGAATAAAGATCTGGGGTGGAAGAATCCTGTTACACCTTGCAAAAAAGGAATCGTGTAAATAACTCTAAAAGTCTTCTATTGAATTCAAACTCATTACCCAAGTTCATAAAATAGGCACTTTTCTGCTCTAGAAAACTGAGGGAGCCCCTGGAAAAAAATTTTACCATTTAGTTGAATGCTTTCCTTTCCCTGATAAATTATTTGCACTTGGCCTTTTTTTACGGCTCGTGTTTTGAAGACTCGCACTGAATGCAAGTTACCTGGTTACTGTGCCCATACAGGTGGCTGGTGGTGAAGGACTCTTTCCTGCTGTACATGAAGCCAGACTCGGGGGCCATTTCATTTGTCCTGCTGGTGGATAAGGAATTCAACATTAAGATAGGCCAGAAAGAAACGGAAACAAAATACGGGTTGCAGATCGACAATCTCTCTAGGTAAGAAACACAGACTTTATTTAGGCCCTTTTCAGTTTGCTTTGGCTTTTGTTAAATAGGAATCGATGCTGCTCTCCAAGAGGGGTTAACAAGGTGTGCTGGGTTGACATGGTGCAGCTCAGCTTCCTGCAGGGCTCAGAGCCTAGGCCACTGCTGGTGTGTTTACACCTGCTGGGGATTTAGCCTGTAATGCAGATCATTTCAGATGTCTTAATAAGTCATTTGGAGCCTCAGCTGCTGTTTGTCCATCCTTATGGTTATTTCTCAGGCCTGGGGGTGCGCTGCCTGTTGAGTTGCACAGTCTTGTTTTGCAGCAATTGCGTACAATAATTTTCAAGGTGCTCTGTTCCCTTTATGCTTCAAGCAGGGATGTGTTCTACAACCCAGCTGGGGTATTACCGAAAAGACATGCTAGTTCGGATAAAGTGATATTTAATATTTTTATGGTAGTGTACAGTATAAATTCATCTTTTAAAAAATACAGCATTAGCTTGATCCAGCTGCCCTCTGAGCTAAGATGATGCTGTTAATTATATCTCATCTGTTTTTTATTTATTTTATGCTTGGCAGTGCAATCCTGTGGTAGTCACTCAGAGCAGCTCAGTGCTGATGTATTCTTCAACAAACAGAACAACAAATCAAAATCCTTTTTGCTTAAATAAAATATGACTGTTACATGTGTGTTTATCAATGTGTATAGGCAGTGAGGAGCAGCCCAATTAAATATTTATGGCTTCAGCATCCTGCCCTATGCGTCATCTGTTTTACAGGTCATTGATTTTGAAGTGTAACAGCTACAGACATGCCCAGTGGTGGAGGCAAGGCATAGACGAGTTTATTCGGAAACATGGCAAGGACTTCTTCACAGAGCACCGCTTCGGGTCTTACGCAGCCGTGCGGGAGAACACACTGGCCAAGTGGTGAGGACTGTGGTGAGGCTGTGACCAGCTCAGTGCCTTGGGTGCTGTTACCTGCAGCAGGAACAGCACACACCTGCCTGTGGTACCATCTGCCCGATGGGTAGAGCTGTTAGTGCTCCGTAGCTGTAGAGACTGATAATTAGATAAGTGGCAAAAAAAATGAGGTTTCCTCCACCAGGAATGGAACAGCAGTACTGGTGACAGGAGTGCTTTGATCCTGTTACAGCTTTGCATTGCAGCTAAATGCGTTTTGTAACATCAGGTTGCATTTGAATGTGAACATCTGGGCATTTGTTATTGTAAGGATAAAAATGGTATCTTGATGCACATATAATTGGCAGAATGCTTATCAGAATTGATATTTTATCAGAAGATATTCCTGGCTTCAATTTTATCACAGTTTCTAATTCTAGAAATCCTACTTTCTAAGGGGTGAGGTTTTTGTTCTCTGGGTTATAAACTCAGAGTAACATAGGTGCTGTTGAAAACCTCTGCCTCTTTGGCCACTCCCTTCTCCATAGCTCCCTCCCAAAGCTGCTGTGCTGCAGCCTGTCTTGCCTGTGCTCCTCTGTAACCAATCATCGCTTCATGTCCTTCATGCTCTAAATTGCAAGATTTGTCCTTCTTGCTACATTGACAATGCTGATTCTCATTCTGTAGCACAGCATTGCCTTTCCAGGCACCACAAATGTGTTCTAGTGCGAACATCACTCATTGGGTAAAGAACATAATCAGTCTGGTCTTGCAGACTGGCTTTGCAACGAAAGAGAATCAGCAAAAGCAAATTTGGGTATAGTCTAAGGGTGACTGGGCTTCATGCCAAAACAATCACACAAGAAATCCATCCGTCCACAGTGTAACCTGCTTGCACTAAGCCATTCCCAGAATCGCCTCAAAAACTGGATTCTAGCTATACGCAAATCCTTGCGGTGGTCTCATTGCAGCTTCTGCCTCGCAGCAGCTACTGCGCAAGTTGTTTCTGTAAATCTAAACACACACCACTCCACCGTCCTTTCCTGAGAGCCCTACCTAGCTCACACATCAAGCAAACCCCAAGAATATTGTCTGCGGTTCGCAGGAGTACCAACTGGCACTTAATAATCTCTTATTATGCTGTTTCATTAAGCTACTAATGGCAGCATGAAGCTCTCCCTGCATGCTGTCCTGATTTTTGAAATTAAATTTGTGTTTTCTTCTGAGAAGAGAATACAAATGGCATTACACAGAAGCCCATCAGTCTTCAGCTGTGGACTTTGTTTAACAGAGTGGGGGGAAACAAATCTATGTGCTGTTTGCTTTTACAGGTATGTAAATGCTAAGTGGTACTTTGAAGATGTCGCAAATGCCATGGAAGCTGCTAAGGAAGAAATTTTCATCACAGATTGGTGGTTTGTACTTATGTAATTTGGATGTTGACCGGCTGCCTCTCTTGGGATGTTCCCAACAATGCGGCACTGTTTGGAGGCCCTACAGTATGGCAACTAGCCGTGCGGCCAGATGGTTTGGCAGCACACCCAAACATCTCCTTGTGTTGTATTCAAAGGCCTTTTCAGGAAGGTTGGCAGCAAAAGTGCATGCTTGAAATCAACAGCTTGGTTGTCTCCTTCCAGGGAAAGGCCTGAAACTGCATGAAGGCACCACCTGAATTGCAAATATTATGGCTCGAGGTGCTCATCAGGAGTGTAAATTGCTGCAAAGCCCAGGGGCACAGTTTTTTTTCAGTGTGTAAGGGAACAGAATGTAGACACTCGAACACCTCTGATAGTGCTCTTCCCATAGGATCCTGCGTGGGATCCTCCTTTCAGCACCTCCTTGCTGTCTTGGAAAGCCTTATACCAGCATCTTGGGAGGGGTGTGATTTTTGCTTTGCTCTTAAATGAGCCATGCAATGTAGGGGGAGTTTTGTCACCCCTTTGGAGCATGTGGCTGCTTAAGAACATGGCTCTGCCTGCTTCGTAACTAGTAATTCAGTATGTTTATGCAGTGCTCCAGTGCTCTGGTTCCTGTCTGAGGCAGGAACTCATAGCCTTGGGGCAGAGTTTCTTGGCTGGATGATGGCTGTGCCTTGCCTTTGGGGAGGTTAATTTGGTTGAGCCAGGCTGGATCTTGTGGATGGGATAGTAGGGCAGGCTGCCAGAGTATGGCTCAGACCTTCTCTTTAACTTTAGGCACGTTTCTGTGCTCATCTTTGTCCACGTGTAAAATGAACCTCTTGCTACTAAGCCACTGACCATTGGAACTGGGAGGATTAGTTCTTAGGTGCCAATTATTATGTGAAAATTAAATACAAGGTCAGCATTTACATGGGTAAACATGTTTCCTAACATGACCACATATAAACCCAATGCTACTGCATCCCCATGTGCAGCGTCAGGTCACAATGCAAGAGCACAGCATTTCAGACCCATCATCTTTTGCTTAATGTTTTGTTCAGACAATTGTTAAAGTATCTTAGAATTCCAAAACTTATTTGAAACTTGGATTTTAAGATAAAAATCCTGGTGTCAGAACATGTTTTTAGGGTGTAGCTACATGCTCTATCCAAGCACAAGTTCTCGTGCTCACTACAAAAGTAAAGGAATGAAATTCTGCCACCTTGCTTTGCAGGAGTTAGAGGAGATTGCTCAATTATACCCTGTATTCCTTAAAGCTATGAATCACTAAATTGTCCTTTTGAGAGATCATATTGCTTTGTCTTTAGGCAGCCAGGAAAATCCAGCACAAAGCTATGCTACTCAGATAGCCTAAGTGCCAGGAGAGGTGAAATCCCACCTTATTTTTTATGTCTATTATTTCTTTCAAATCTATCTTGGGGTTTTCTTTCATTGTATCTTTCTTTTATAGAGTCTGAGTTTCCTGATTTATACATCACTGTTAAGCCTGGTCTCAGGTGGTGTTGAATACTAAGGCGAATGTGCTGGACGCACCCGCTGCCCTCTATAATGCTCTGTTATTAAAATACAAAGAGCATGGTGTGGAGAATCTATCACTCTGGGACATGAGCCTTTGCATCCATTCTGTATCAACTTTGATTTCTTTGCTTCCCAAGATGATTATTTAGGCCAGTGCTTTGTTTGCAGACTGCACATGACGTGGTATTTTCCACCCCTTTTTTTTATTAGGCTCAGCCCAGAAATCTTCATGAAACGACCTGTTGTGGAAGGAAATCGCTGGCGGCTGGACTGTATCCTCAAGCGGAAGGCAGTAAGTGAGCTCCAGCTGCAACCTTTACCCTGCAGAAAACCCCATGTGTCCATGCAGTTACAGGATCATAGTGGACTGGAGTGTTTGCACCATTTATTTTGGTGGAGATGAGAGTTAAAGCTGGCCAAGCCTCATTTCAGATGGCCTGTTTTGATTTGCTCCCCCTATTTGGGTTTGGAAGAGCTTGGAGGCAATAAGGTAGATCTCTGATTGCTCCTTTGAGTCCTCAGGTTTGGGTCATTTCAGTATTGCATTATGACTGCCCCAGCTGCTGTTGCTATCCGGTGCTCTCCACATGGCATATGTAATTGAGAGGTACAGGAAAGACTAAACGCTTTGTGGTGATTCTTGGTAGGTGTTTTGTACATTGCTATGTTGTGCAGATCCTTTCTGTTGTTACCATGTGTTGTGTGTCTGTGCTGCAGCTGTCAGCCCGACAAGAAAATCAGGGTGTCATTAGCAAAAAGTCACTTGGCTTCATTCAGAGGTTCATGCTATCTCGTGATAGCTACCTCATTGGGTTTTCCATAGCTGACAGATTGCAAAGGTCCTTGCTAAAACTAAACACCAAAGAACTGATGTTCTGCCTGTTCACCCATTGTTCCTTGCTGTAGTAAAGAAGTGCCTGTTGACATTAAACATCATCCTGATGTTTTCCAGCCCCATTACCACTGGTGGAGCCCCTCTTGCTTTTGTTCAGCCTGGGCCATGCTGCCCAAAGCTCTTCATGCTATAGCTCTTTGCTACCATCAGTAATAATAAATTTTAGTGCAGCGTATAAGGCCAAACCCTGAAAGGTTTTTGTGTTGTCTTATTTTTATTTAGAGGGAGAACTTCTGGTTAGAAAATACTTTATTCTTTTGGTAGTTGTTCTTTACTATGTGTATGTCTACTGGTTTTCTTCGTTCCTACCCACCCCTTTCTGTATTCTCATGGCTCTTGTGGCCACTAAGATGAGGCAGATCAGCTGTGTCCTCCCTCCCTGTCCCTTCTCAGGTGGCAACTGGTTATGAGGGCCCTGGTGCATTACTATGGAGAAGAAAAGTGAGGAAAGGGCTTCAGCAAAGCAGGAGGAAAAGAAAATGTACAAATACAGGCATCATCATATTCCCCAGAGCTGGACTGTGGTGGTCAGCTTATTAACAGGAATGTGATAAATATGGTTCGGAGACTAGGACTTCCACTTGCATTGCTGTGTATCTGAGTTAATACATGCTTGTGTTAAGTAAGCAAATGCTTACTGTATAAACTTGATAAGGCTTTTTTCCTTCTGTTTTAATTTTTCCTCTGCTGTTCCTCCTCGAGAAAAAGCTCAGACCTGCTGTTGACCTGATGCCTTTCCTGCCTCTCTTGGTCAGTTCTATGCTGTTACATGCTTTTCTTTCTTGTGCAGCACTTTATGGTATAAGCAAGGATCTGCTAGCGCTGTTTCTCTTTAAGCATTTTCATCTCAGTGAACAGTTCATTTTGTTGCTGGTTGTACTCTGCTTTCCAATAACGCATCTGGATCCAGACTGTAGAGAACATGTTTCATGGAGCCAAATGAGGCAGACAGAGAATCCAAGTGTGAAGTGTTTATGAATGTGAGCTGTGCTTCAGTTGTTCACCCAACCTGTGATAACACCAGTGCTAGGAATGGTAGTTTGCTCCATGTAAGCAGTGAGTCAGAAAGCAAAGCACAGACGGGAAGACTCTTGAACTCTTGGTGTGGTAGAAGGGCAGGATTCCAGGTGGACAAACTGAATTAGGCTTTGACACCCTGCCCTTCCAGACCAGCACAGTCCTCAACCCTCCACATGCCTATTAAAAAATACAATGTTTTTGTGCCTGTTGTTGATTTGGAAGTAGTCATTTTCTGGCAAATGAAACACGGCCATAGGGCATGCCCACTGGGTGAAAGAATTTATCTTTGTCATGTTGACACGATTTTCCTATAAATACCTTGTAAGAGTGAGGAGTGTTTTAAGGTTCGTTTCTGGAAATACTTACCAGATCTTTCACTTGTGGCAATTCTTTGACTTGACAGGATGGTCAGCAAGTTAGTGTCTATGTATGTGGTAAGGCTGTCCTTTATGTATTTATGGTGCTGCCTAGGAGTTCTCTGGGTGCAGTGGAGAGCAGAATAACATCCACAATTTGGAGACTGCCTAAGCTCTCAGAAGCAGCTTTATGGGAATAGGAACTTAAAAGGTTGTGGGAAATTTCAGCTAGCAAACTCCACTGCAGGGTTTTAAATCATGCTGATTTATGGCTACTGAAGGTGTCCCAGTGTGTGACCAGCGTGTGCTGAGGTTTGGGAAGTACTTGGAAGTTTTAAAAGTGCTTTAACAAGTGTCGTTAGAAATCCTACTGTGGATACCATTCTGGTCACTAAAAGACCATCCTTGTAGCACTGCTCATTGTACTCCAGCAGCTTGTTTAGCTCTACCAGCAGAAAGAACTTGTTTACTGGCATTGAGCCGGTTGCATCCCCTTCAGGAGAGAGATGTCCATATAACTGCGCTGGTATTGTCCTGCAGAGGTTTTCAACCACAAGCAAACCCCAGGGAAACATGAAGCAGCAGAAAATTGAGCTTCAGTGGATGTGTGCCACATGATTAAATGTGGAGTGAATCATGTTTGCAAAATCTTACCTCAAAGGAAGTTTAAAAGGGGGTACTGTAAGAATGACTTCTTGTGGGTTTTGGCATAGCTCAGCTCTTGAATCCAGCTACTGAGCTGGAAGGCTTTCCTGAGAAGTATGGGTCCTTGCATGCTGTGGGGTCACCATGGTTTCTCCTCACTTTGGAATTGGACTGTATCCATTCATATACCTGCATAGCATGTTTTTCTCTTCTTTTCTGACAGCAACAAGGAGTGAGGATTTTTGTGATGCTGTACAAAGAGGTGGAGCTTGCCCTAGGTATCAACAGTGAATATAGCAAGCGGACGCTTATGCACCTCCATCCAAACATTAAGGTAATTCTGCATCGAGCAGCTGTATGAAAGACATTTGCATTTGTTTATTCTTGATAGTGCTGACCTTCACACCGAAATGAGTGTGAACTGGTACAGTGGTAATAGTCTGAGAAGACATAGAGTGATTACCACATCTGGCAATTTCATTTCTTTTGTTTATAATTGAACATAAAATTGCTTAGTTTAGACTTGCCAAAGCAGTTATTCATCTAATTTACAAGAAACATATTTCATGTGAGAAGCTAATAGGGTTACATCAAATGGAAAGTTACAATTTGAGAATGTCTCATTTCAGCATTTCTGTTCAAATGTAGATGACAAGAGTCAATGCTGGATGTTTGAGTTCCCATCATAGAATCATAGAATAGTTAGGGTTGGAAAGGACCTTAAGATCATCTAGTTCCAACCCCCCTGCCGTGGGCAGGGACATCCATAGGAAAATACCCAGTACCAGCAGATCTCTGGCAGTACCAGCAGGCTCCAGGTCCAGCTGGGCAGGGGCCAAGGGGGCTCAGCATTTTGCATGTGCTACTAACAGAAAGGCACTCCAAAGAACGGCAACACAGGTGATGGCTAAGGAGTCATGCCAACAGGCCAGGTGAGCTCTCACCCACAGCACTGTGTCCTGCTGCGTGATGGAGCTTATGAACCATAAATGCATACTGGAGCAGGTGCAGGAAGATGATCAGGTCTTCTCAGAGGACCTGAGGACTTGTTCAGCCAGCCAGGGAATGGATAACTACACGGTATGAGTGTATACTGTCAACAGTGTGGACAATCGTAAATGAACAGTATTTCACTGTCCTGTGCTGTTACTCTGCTGTGCTGCCACCAAGCAGAAAATGAGTTGTGGTAGACAAACCAGCAAATAAGGCTAGATCTAGTCTCTTGAAATCAGAGATGTACATTTTAATGAGCAATAAGGTATATGTTATGCATGAGGGTGGCTAACAAACTGCTAGAATAATAGATTTATTGTCACTTGATCAGTTGTCACAGTGAAGGGAAGCATCTATTCACTGTCATCTTCTCAGCAAGACTGGAAGATACATGCTAGCTGTGTAACAGGTTTTGGGAGCAGCCAGGTGAAACTCTGTACCTTTTTTTCCCAGGAAGCTGGTCTAATGGCTCTAACAAAATATATATACTGTATACTTAGACACAGAAATTACTTTGTCATAAACATGTCAAAAAGAATCTCGTAAAGAAATGCCAAGTAACTTGCTGGGGAAAAAAACAGCCAACTTCTCATTTTACTTATGTAGCAGCAACAACCAAAGTAGTGAGTCAGATTGCCAATATGTTGTTTTCTTTAGGAGCAGGCTTGTGTTTGAAAGCTCAGCTGTTACAGCTCTACTGAAAGCATGATTTTATTTGTTGCTGTCAAGTTCCCTTGACCATTGTCCTCTTACGAACACTATTGCTATCCCAACATCAGTGACAATTGCTGCTCGGGAATACCTACATTATGAGGAAGCACCTGCCTGCCAGTAAGGCTGAGCCCAAGAAATGGGGGAGTCATGTATCTTCAGTAATTAAGGGGTCTGTGTGGATGCATCTTTAAAAACTCCAGTGTCTCCCCATCATTCCAAGCAGCCAAAACCAAGCTGGGCAGCTCTGGCTGGAGGGATGCAAATTGAGTTGTGACACTGAGCTTGAGTGCTGACTTTTCTCCCCAGGTGATGAGACACCCAGACCATGTGTCTTCCTCCGTGTACCTCTGGGCCCACCATGAGAAGCTTGTCATTGTTGACCAGTCTGTGGCATTTGTGGGTGGCATTGACTTGGCATATGGCAGGTGGGATGACGACGAGCACCGCCTGACAGATGTGGGCAGCGTGAAGCGAATGGTGGCAGTGAAGTCAGTGTCAGCAACTAACCTTACAGTAAGTGAGCTTACTCCAGCTGGTGGCCATGCTCAATATCTGCGTGTCAGGTTTGCGGTGGGAGTGAACAGGCCTTGTCCCCTTCTAAGCATAGGGCTGGGTTTAGGAGATTTAAAGAGGCATGGTAGTGGGAAGGAGAAAGTGTCTGAGCATTGAATGACTCCTGAGGGCTCGATGCTGGCCAGCTGTTACTAGGGCACATAAACAGCTGAGCTTCTGGAGCTTGGAGCAGCAGTTACAGTTTGAAGGCTGCTTTCATGCTCAAACTGCTATAAATGCATGGTAAGCATTTGCAGAGTGCCCTGAACTTCTGGATACTTGGGCCCTTGGCAGGTGCCTTGCTTGCTGAACTTTCTGCTAACCTGGGTCTGTATGTAACAGCATATCTCTAAAATTTCAGAGAGGTTTAGGTTTATGAGAATTTTAAGGGGAGTAGTAATCTAGAGTAAATTTATGGAATCATAATACTGCTAGTAATACTGGGTTCTGTTGAGTGCCTCCTCAGTACAGACTCCCTCTCAAGCATTCCTAGTTCCCACTGACATACGTCCTTGTCACAGGGCAAAATTTGGCTCATGGTTGTTTGAGTATTGATATTACATGATAAGCTGTAATTAATGGGTAACCTGTCCAGACATCACCTGCAGCAATGTTTTGTGTCTTTTAAGTCTGCAGCAGAGTCTGAACATGTTCCCCTGCAGTCACAAGCTCTGTCCCCCGAAAGCCCCTTGTTCCAGAGAAATGCTGATGATGCCCCAGACACATCAAAAATGAAAGGAGTAGGAAAACCCAAAAAGTTTTCAAGGTTCAGTATTTACAAGCACCTCCATAAACACGGCATGCACCATGCTGACAGCGTCAGCAGCATCGACAGTGAATCAAGTAAGTAATGTTTTTTAACTAAACAACATAAATAAAGCGTGAGTGGAGGTGGGTGGGTGCCTGTGCATGCAGATTCACATAATTTCTAGGGTAACGTGTTCTTTTGTAAGGAAGGAAAGCTGATGAATTTCTTAACTCTCCGAATAATAACTGTTGTCAATACATAAATTTGTGTCACTGCAAAATGTACAGGGAAAGTTTTGATTTGAGTTTCATTAATTAGCAATTGTCATAAATCATCAGATGACATGATGTAGTGTACATGACACCTAATGTTTATATTGTTGGAAAATTGACTCTTTCATTTTTCAACTTGTGTTTATTGTAACAAGCAAAACAGTTTCTGAATATGATTATCTCTCATAGGCCAGTGTTACCTAGGTTTAAATCAGTTCACTTAAATGGAAGTATTCACACTTCACCTGCTTACTAGAGAGGAGATACTATTCAACAGTTGAATATTTGAACACAGCTTTTAATTCTCCACATTAAAAACCACTTCAGAGCTAAAATTACATTTTGTTACTGACATTTGTTCTAGCATGAAGTACTTCCTGAAATCTGTTCCCTGAAGTCCTCCGTTCTTAAAGCTGTATATTGGTTGTGATGGGAACCTACTTGAGTTTCCACCAACCCCTGCAGATTTTCCTCCTGCCTCTGGCCAGAGGAAGCCTTGGTGGAGCATTGTTTGCCTTGGTTGCAGTTGGCTCAGGACATATCAATGGCTTCACTGCTTCAATATATCTGGTTTAAAACCAGCTAGGTCTTGAATTTGGTCCTTTGCCTATTGGTCACTTGTAGTTTCAGCAAACTGACATCTTGTTTGAGCTCCTGACATGCAAGGTGTCTTCAGACAGGATCCAGGCACCAATGTAGTTGGTTGACGTGTGTTTTTGCTGTGAATAGAGCATCTCGACTTCCTGCAGGTTACTATAACCCCACTAGAAGTCAACCAAATATAATCCAGAGTTTAAAGCCCCATCTGAAAATCTTCCATCACCACAGTGAATCCAAACAGGGGCTCACAGAGCCTCGGGAGGGTAAGTGGAAGAAGGCAGAGGTGCCTTCAGGCTTTAGCTGCTGATGTGCTTGTGTTATAACTATGGTGAGAGTTAGGTTGAGTGCCAGGATCAGCCTTTGCTGCTTGTTGATTTCCCAGCATCTTCAGCACCCCTCTGAGGACATCCTGACAGAAGTCTTCTCCAGAAGCTACAAAAACTGTAGCATAAATAAATAATAATTATAAAAAAAACCAACCAAACAAACAAAAACACCACCCACAACAGCAACAAACCCTGAACAAATCAACATTATTTGCAATAACACCACGGAACAGTTAAGGAAATAGCTCTGATTCTGGCCTATGATTATTTCAGCAGCTCTCATCCTGCAAAGGAAGGGGCTTGTTACTGGAATATGGAACTTCCGCAATGGGTACTTCAAGTTAAACCTAATGCAGGAAGACATGCAGGGAAAGGACACAGCAAAGTGTCTGCTGACAGACCTATGTTTGGTTGGAAGACTTGGGCCTTCCCTTTTGTCCCTCATTGAAGTCAATAAAAGCATACTTAACTGAGAAAGGATTTTCTCTTAACTACTGTCCTGTCCTGATCTCTGGACTGATGTTGAAAGGGCCTGTTTCAGTACCTCATAGGGATCCCGTTGAGTTCTGATATGGGGTGAGGGGCAGTTACTTGGCATCTTCCTCATGCTAACGTTTTCTGCTAAGGCCTTAATTACCAATTGTAAAATACTGGTTACAAAGTAGTGGTAGGTAACAAGGAAGAGAAGCATTTGCTTTGTGGAAATTAATTGTGGTCTCCCCTGCGGTCACCTCATGCTCATTCGTGAGTCAGCATACAGTCATCAAAGCTCAGTACATGAAGTGTGTTTTAGCCACACAGCATGTCCCACCCATTCCCATTTGAGCATGCTGAGTCAGTGATTCCCCAGCTCCACCTGGACTCTCACTAGAAACTCAAGCTTCCTGATGCAGCTGTGATGCTTACCTGCTGCATGGTGTTTCTGGCATGGCTTGGCTTAGCTCAGCGGAGTTACAGCAGTGCTGGCAGGGCTTGCTTTGTGTGAACCAGTCTTGTTGCACTGCTGCCAATGTGTATTTTGTTGACTGTTGAAAGGGGGTTGTGGTAAGGGGTTTTCATGCTTACCTGTTAATGTGGTTGAGTTAGAAGGCTTCTGCTGCTAGCCTGTTACTATGTGATTATTTCAGTAGTATTTGGTACAGTAGATGAAGACTGCTCTCAGGGTCAGTAAATAATGCTAGTTAAATGTTTATGGTCTAGGCCAATGTTTTTGGTTTCCTTAAAAATAGAGGGAAAAAAAAATTCACTCTGCACCAAAATATGCGCTGTAGAAGAGGGATCCTGTTAGGACGGAATATTTTAGACTATTTTTAATCACCAATTTGGAATTCAGAATCCATTTGTTTAACATGTAAAATTGTATGAAAAGATGGCATTGTTACTTGGAAATACAAAATAAAACATTAGTGAAGGAACATGATTAAATCATTTCATTCTAGTTAATAAAGACTAGCTTCTGTCAGATGAGATATACCCTCCTACAGAGGCAAATTTGTAAATACTCCAGCAGGGAAGTTGGAATTACTTCATTATTATTGTAAGATATATTAAGTGGATAATTTATTTAATGTTTCTGTACATATATCCACTGAGGTCAGTCACAGCTGGGACTGGACTGCCACATTTAGGTGTCATTCATTGGACTGTGGAAAAAACAAATGATTATAGGGTGAGTTTTTCAGTGTAGTGTATGGAGAATTTAGCATCTGCTTCTTGTTTCCATAACAGACTCCTATATATAACTAGTTCTGATGGTATAACAAATTCTAAAATAGGGAAGAAAAAAATACTAATATACATCTTTTGAAAGCATCAGGAAGAGTAGGGAGAAATCGGCTTCAGCTGACTGGGACTGGGAGGTCCTACAAGTGCTGTTCCATCGCAGAGAATCTCTCACCAGCAGTGTGAGATGGACAGACATAACTTTGGAGTGTGTGGATTTGTTGTCTTGTTTGCCTGTGACAGATAAAGGATCCATCCGCAGCTTGAAGACAGGTGTTGGCGAGCTGCTTGGGGAAACCAGGTTCTGGCATGGAAAAGACTACTGCAACTTCGTCTTTAAAGACTGGGTTCAACTTGACAAACCTTTTGCTGGTAAGTGGCTTTGCACCGTGGAAATCATTACATTCCCCCGAACCCTCTTTTGCATCTTTTCAGCCTCAAACCATATTTTTTGCTCTTACTGAGACAGAGGTAATGAGACAATTTTGATTTGGCTGCTAGGAGGGAGCAGCAGAACTGTCTTTGAGAGGTTCTAGGGCCAATTATGCCGTTACGGTCCATGGACTTGGACTGCAGGTGATTGCATGATGAGTATTCTGCACAGCCCTCAGTGCTGTGTCCCAGAAGCTTCCGTTTGAGGGGGGCATGCCATGCTTTTCCACATTCATGTCTTTTTTTTTCTGAGAAGGCCTAAACATGCTGTCCTATCCTGTAGACTTCATTGACAGATACACCACCCCAAGGATGCCCTGGCATGACATCTCCTCCGTGGTACACGGCAAAGCAGCGCGGGATGTTGCCCGACACTTCATCCAGCGCTGGAACTTCACCAAGGTGGGGTGTGGGCGTCACTGCTGGGGACACAGAAACGAATACAGCCCCTGCCTCATCCACGTGCCCTCCGCTTTAATTTTTAATGTTATCCTGCTGTGTTGCAGTGTCATCAAGTTGCATTTGTTTTCTTTTTTCCCCGGGCAGATTATGAAGCCCAAATACCGATCCCTGTCCTACCCATTCTTGCTGCCAAAATCTCAGCAGACTGCTAATGAGTTGAAGTATCAGGTGCCCGAGGCTGTTAATGCCACAGTCCAGGTGGGTGCTGATGGTCTGCTCACATTCTCCTAAGACAGCCCGTTTTGCATCTTTCCAGCAGGAAATGTTGATGCCTGACAGACCCTCTGCAGAACTTCAAATTATAAAATTACACAGCATAGGTGGTCACGTCCTAAATTACAGTAAAATAATGCAACTTTCAGTAGAAATGCATTAATTTATACCTCCACCTTTGAGGTAAGAGGACCAAGCTGTAAGCAGTACTCAAGCTGTGGGAACACCATGACTTTGTATGGCTGTGTAATTTGCTATTTTGTTTTCTGCTGCTCTTCTAATGCCTAACATTTATATTTTATGTTTTGGGAAGGCCTGATGGGTTGAGGTTGCCCACTGAATATTTATCTCAAATCTTAGAACAGTCTAACCAGGCCCCCAATGCTTCAGTTGAACATTTGGTGGTCACCTAGAGCCCAGCATTAAGTGGAATCTCAGAGATGTTGCATTGAACTTCATCTGCATTTTATCATGGAGCCATTCAGCCCTGTGGGTGCTTTGCAGTTCTGCACACTCAGCCCACAGTCTCATTTGTGACAATCATCCTCACAGTCATAGTTTCAGAGATACCTCTGTCTAAAAACGCAGCTAGCTAGACTGAGTGCATATATTGAATACTACTGTTACCCAGCAGACACATGGACTTGTGGAAGAATATAGTCAAAACAGTTATGCTGAAGCAGCAAAACAATTGTGTGTCTCTGTGGATGAAAGATGTACAAAATAAGAGCAATTACACCAAAACCAGGCAAGATGCCTGCCTTTTCTCTTTGTAAAAAGTGGTCTACCCAGATATCAGCAACACTTGGGGAAGCTTGGTGTAATAAGACACATTTTTCTCGGTTTCTGGGCTGCCAGGGCATTGTCTGCTCCAAGCCGCGTAATGTGAGGAATGGCCAGGGATCTTGTCGTGGATCTTGGGTGTGTTACACCGGCCTCCAAAACAATGCTTGTTAAACAGCTTGTTGAAAAATAGTCTCACTTCAGGCATCCTCGTGCTTCTCTGTGGCTGTAAATGCCTCCCCAGCTGCGACTGTGACACCAGCTTTTTGGGAAACTTTGTTCTCCTGCATGTGAGGAGGCTTGTGTCCCCATAGCATGCTCTAACCACAACATAAGCCTCAGCTTCTAAATTGTGGGGCTTGCTGTAGCAAAAAGTTAGGATCTGCTGATTAAGAACTGGAAGCAGTCCCTTAAGGAGAAATGGAACTGAGCACTGTCTAGGTCCAGCTTTCCTTTAGTCTATACTGCAGAGCTGCTGGCTCAGGGCATCAGCCTGTGGAAAAGGAGGATGAAACTCAATAACTGTTAAATGCTGCATACACCAGTACTGAGTAGTGGGCGAGTTGTTGAAAACTAGCCTTGTCACAGCATTGCTGGGGTAATGCAAATAACTGATATGTTCCCAGAAATGAGGGGCTGTTTCAGTGATGCCATAAAAAGCAAAAAGAGAGCAGGTTTGTCTTGTAGATTATTCACTTGAAACTGCCTTGCTCATTTCTAATTTATGTCAAATTGCAGCTTTGAGAGACTTGTCAGGGTAGCCCAGTCCTGCTTAGAGACAGATAAATAAAACCATATGATATTAGTCTGAAAACATGTTGCCCTGCAATGTACCAGCCTTCTCAGTATGAGGGAAGACAATAAAGAAGAGCATTTGCAGCACCAGGCATGGTGGAAATGGCGAGGGTGGCTCCTCTGTCTAGGCTGGTGCACCCTGCCCGAGTACAGTCTTCCTTGACACTGGATACAGGTTCCTTGACTCTGGGCTGCTTGCTTATGATTTCTGGATGATCTCCTCAAGCTCTGAGCCATGGTTTTGCTTGCACATACTGTAATATTGGCAGTCTTCTCCATAATGTTCACACTGGCCTGGTTTCCATCGGTCCTCAGATGACGAAAGTGTCCTGAAGCATCCCTGTAGTCCCTGCTGCGGGTCAGTGAGCGGCTCGAGCTCTTCTCCTGATGAAGGTTTCAGATTTGGTTGCCACAGGAGGTGGTGAGAGGGAAAGACTGGATCTACACACACATATACCTTCTCCTGGTTCGCCTCTTTCTGGAGCTCCTGGGGTGCGCATCAGGGTGTCCCTGTGCATCTTCTCCTTTCCTGCAGTCACAGGAGTATCAACCTCTTGCCTGTCCAATATGGTAGTTTTGGGCCAGAGGGCTGCTCGTGCTCATGTCTCCTTCCAGTGGTACAGTGCAACGCAGAAATCAGAAATACCCTAAAACCTTTCACTAACTTTTTATCCAGAAAAACTAGAACAATATTGTTTTGATACTGAATCCCTTGGCTGGCTGACAGCCGTGCCCATGTTATTCCCATTTTGGTGTTGTGTAGGGACTTTAGAGGTAGAATTTACTGTCCTGAAGCAAAACCCAGCATATAGTGCCTGTCCTGGCTGTGGGGTGATTGAAGAAAGTCTGGCTGCTCTTTTTCTTGTTTCTGAGCTTGTTTGGAATCTGTCTTCAATTGTGGGCAGATCAGAGGAAGGGAAAACACAAAGTATCTGGAGATTGCAACACTGCTGCAATGGCTGAGCCACTGACTTGTCAGCAGCACATTTTGACCTCGTTGAACCATCTGGTTTTGCTCTCCTTTATCAGACAAGAGGAGCAGGAAAGCGTTTTCAGGCAGGTGAGGACCACAGGAGTGGCCCTGACAAGGGCAGGGAGGATGAGTGCAGTGTGTATGGGAAACAGTGTGGAGGTACAGGCTGGGAAGAAGGAAGGGAGCCTAGCAGCTCCATGGGTTAGTCAGACATGGTCTTTTGCCCTCTTTCCTTTGAACTTCTGGGCTTTGCTTGCAATAGCAAAGTGATTGCACATTGATTTTTTGCAAGAGTCAAATAGCTAAAGGCAATGTCAGGGTTTTTCCATCTATCTCCATTCCAGGGTTTGCAATTATCGGCCAAAGCCAGCACTGCAAAAGATGTGATGTGAGGCAATATCCAGTTCCTGATGCAAATGCAATGAAAATTTAATGCTCTGGCAGTGGCTAATGCCCTTACCTCTTTGAAGTCTGCATGAGAGCTTGCACTGCTCAGGAGTTATGCACTAGCCCACAGCAAACATCAGAATTGTTACTGTCGTATCAGTAAAAGAAGTTAGAGGTGACAAGCTTGGCACAGCCTTCCACGGAGGTATTGAGAGGTCTGAGGAAGAGGAGAGGAAGGAGCATGGGGACACCATCTGTTGTACCTGGTGCAAGATGTTTGGGTGATGCTGAGCCAGCTTTTCAGGACAAGCGACGGTACATGGTTGTGGTGTGATAGTCCTGTAAGACCAGGCAGCCTGGTGTGAAGAGCAGTTGGGGTGCTGATGTGTGGAGGGATGAAGAGGAAGGCAGGGAAGGGCAGGTGGATGATACGCTGGGAAGCCATAGTGCTGGAAAGGGATGGTCCTGTGTGATAGTCCTGTTGCATCAGGTGGCATCCCTGATTTAGAATAAACTTGTCTCCTCACAGTAAAGTTGTCTTTCAAAGCAAGGGGCTTTGGTATTATAAAGGTCCCAATTCAGAAAAGTACATTTATTCCTCATCCACAGCAGTTTCAGCTCTTGCTGCAGTAAATGAGGGTGTGGAAGTTACTTTGTTTAGTGCAGGGCTCAGCAGCTTATCTTAAAAAAAGAGAAGCAGCTCTTTGGAGTGCAGACAAAGTTAACTAGCAAAAAGGATTAAATATCAGTACTTTGCACGCTAGGAAGCTTTCTGAAGCACAATTCCAGATTGTATTTGTTGGAGGTACCCAGTCCACAGGGACATGCTTCATGGCCCCTGGTTTTCACTGCAGCAGGAAGAGGCAGGTAGGAGGCAGCTGCTCATTGCTGGCTGTGCTGGTGAAGGTGTAAGGGCTCCAAGCTCCTGTCCATGCTGCACGCTGAGCTGTGTGTATAGAAGAATTAGACTGCTCTTTACCCAGAAAAGCTGTTTATCTGTCTTTATTAATGCACACAGTGGAATTCTGTTCAGGAGCTCCATCTGCTGTGGTGTTCGGTGGGGTTTCAGCAGTGCCCAGCCTGAGGTGTGTGGGAGAATGCAGCTTTGGCTTTACAAACCAAATAGGTGAATGAAACCACACAGGCATGAGCAGCATCATCTTGCGTATGTCTATGCAAGCAAAGGGCAGCTGTTGGGGACCAGTAGAGGCTGTGAAGGCCCTTGTGTTTGGGCTGGTTCCCTCCCTCGAGCATCTGTGACCCTGATGCTCAGTTTGGGAGGCTGCAGCGTGTGCCCTTCTGTTGGCCAAGACAGCAGCTAAATGGCAAGAGTAGCAGGATCTGTTTTTCAGTGACCTGTGGGAGAAAGCTCCTTCTGTCCAGTTAAAGGAACTGGCTCAAGAGTTGTGTGGTACTTAACAGCAGTGCCCCCCAGTGCCTCCTCCACAGATGCTCTGGAGACAAGAAGATTGGTTTGGTTCAGGCATACAGCACCTGGACCAAAGGGCTATTATCTATTGGTACACTACTGGTGATGACAATATGACAGCAGAGCTCAGGGTGAGGGTGTTAGGGGGACAGGGAGAATAACATGGAGCCAAGCAGAAGCTGGACACAGAGAATTAAAAGAAATCCAGTGGAGAAATATCCAGGGAAAAATGTTGCGTCCTGAAAGAGAGCAGGATTTTGCACATACTGACACATACGTTTCACAGATCCTCTCAGCCTTTGGATCTTGTCCTGTGTGTGACTGGCTCTGAGTGCTGGTATAATGGCTGTAGAAAGCTATTTTTAGGGCTAATGTTTCAATATTTTTGTCTTGAGGATGTTTAAAGACAGACACTAATAATGAGTAATAGTTTCCCTGAGCATGTGCTCTGTCTCACTTAATTAAAAACTACACTTCCATCTAGGAAAATGTCACTTGGGGCATAGTGCGGTTGCTTCTTGACTCAAAACGCCAGAGAGGGAGATGCTGTGGCATCTCTGGCTGTTGGGGATGGGAAGTTGTCTGCTGTGGGGCTTGCTCAGTCTGACTGAGAGCATGAACAAAGGTTCTTTCTCATACTGGTTTGGCTCTCTTGCACAAGAACTGCAGTAGGCACGGGAGAATGTGCCCTGGGCATCATGCAGTATCTACTTGGAAGGGGGACTTACAGTGAAAATTAATGGTTAAGTATGAGCAGCCAAACTGCCATGAATTTTTAAAGCTGTATCATAGCAAATGGGATGGCTTATGCAAGAATTTGGCAGAAATAGTAAGTGACCTCTAGTGCTCAGGGCAAAGCCACGTCCTGCTTTATCAGACTGTGTAATGATGTAGCCTTTTTGTGGGAAAAAGACATTGCCCCAACTGGAAACTGTACAGGAGATCACTGTTTGGATGTGCACGCCTAAAGCTTCAAAATGTAGTTGTTTTAAAAGCAGTTTGTCGTAAGACCTTAAGCAAGAACAGAACTCCTGTGCTACTTCTGTTCATCTAGAGCTGCCTAGGTGGGACAGCAGTAACACAGCAATGGAACAGAGTACTTAAGTTTTAATCACCACATTATTAAGTATTAATACTATTTTTGAGCAGCTTTTCTTCTTATTACCAATGCAGTATAAATGGTAACTGTTGTACATATTAACTTACTAGTGAAATCCTGAGAGGCAAATGGTATAAGGGAAGAGCATTGCCTCTTAAAGAATTCAGTTGCAATGCTATGGTGTCCTGGATGGGACAGAGCTGAAGGTGTTCATCTCTTGCTTTCCAGGTGATCCGTTCTGCTGCTGACTGGTCAGCTGGCATTAAATACCACGAGGAGTCCATCCACAATGCCTATATCAGTGTGATAGAAAACAGCAAGCACTACATATATATAGAAGTGAGTAGCAATGAGGGAAAGCAGGAGCGTCCTGGTGCTCTGGGTATGGCTTGCAGCCATCAGGAGGGTGATGCTACTTCTTGAGGTCTGGTCTTAATTTTTTATGAATTTAGACGCACGTGGATATTAATACAACATCTGCTCTGAATTTTTGGATCTGTTTCTATTAACTTCAGTGGTCTTTGAACCCGGCTGATGGGTATGTACCCTGACAGCCTTCTGACCTTAAGGTGGAAAAAAGTAGACATCTGTTTTATAAGCCTGTTTGTGAAACTGCCAGCAACTTTCATGGCCTGTGCAATAGTCTTCTGTGCCCTCCATGGCTTTGCAGTGTCCCCTGTTCAAACCCAAACATCTCACTCACAGAGCTGATCTTGCATCTGTACAGCCTTGAGCAGAAGGAATCTCCTATGTTGGAGTGACTCTCAGAGCTGGCTGGCTGGCTGGAGATGCTTATTCTCCTCTTTTTCTCTGTCTTTTCCTCCACCCCAAGCCTCTTATTTGGTTGCTTGTTACATGAGTTTTCTAAGGAGTGTGATTAATAAGGACTAATTAATTCTCTAAGTGAGCACAGGCACACATGGTTTAATGATAATTTTTGAAAAGCATCCCCTGAAGTGGCACACAAGCCAGCTATCTTTTGTGGCTCTTGGTCTGAAATAAAGCGTGCAAATATCTTTTTGTTCCTTGCTGAGGTGTCTGACAGTAACTTTGCTTGCTTTTCCTGCAGAACCAGTTTTTTATTAGCTGTGCTGATGACAAAGTTGTCTGGAACAAGATTGGGGATGCGATTGCACAGAGGATTCTTAAAGCTCACAGGTAACCTGTTAACAAGGCAGTGGAAGTCTTCCAGGTGTATTTATATGGTGTGGTGTAAAATAACATCTTAATGAACATAACTGTACAATAGCTTTCTCAGAGCAGAACCAGTGTGGTCCAACATCTGCTTGCATTTGCGGCAGTGAGACTCTTGTGGTTTCTTTGCATCCACAAAGTGTTTTTTCTGGACTTACCGTGGTGCAAGTACATTTTAAACTATGGAACGTGCTTAAAAGCGAGTCCTTTATACTCTGGTTCAGACACACCTTTGCTTCATAGCCAGCCAGTCTTGAACTCTGTGTGTGTGGTAAGGCAAGTTAACGGGTAAGAAGATTGAACTAGGTTTTGTGGTTTATTCAAATTATCTGTGGACAGGATTGGCTTCAGATAGAGGAAGCAAACACATTTCAAGGATTTGACTGTGGGGCTCAGCTATTGTTTGAACAACTTTTTCTGGTAAGTGCTGGAGGGTATTTACAACCCCCGTTGCAAGGGAACCATCATTTATTCCTGGGTGGATCAGATCCAGCCATGTTCTAGATACTCCTTTTACTTTAGCACACTTAACCCCTTGTTAACATTACTATCACAGGTACTTGTTAATTATCAATTAATAATTAATGAAAATATAAAAATTAATTTATATTAAAGCTTGGTTTTGTTTCCATCCTGTACAGCCTTGTGTAAGGTTGCTCTTTAAGGTACATTGATGTCATAGTCTAAACCTGTATCCTGGCCTTGCTGGGCTGGTACACAGAACTTCTTTCATCTCTCACATGCTTTTTCACCATGCATGGAGACATTTCTTGGAACTATTGTTTTTTTCCATATTGTAATTGTCCAGAGCTATGCAGGGAATGCTTTCCCAGAGGTATTCTCTCCAGAGTCACAGAAATTTCTCTCTCTTTGACACTTGAGCTTGGAAATTCCCACTTGGGTAGAGGCAGCTAACCCCGGACATGCAGTCACCAGGGAACAGGCAGAATCTTCAAGGCCACAGGAGCTGCCATGAGCCAGGCTTTGTTCAGAGGCACTGTGGAAAGAGGAGCACTATTCAAACTGGGAGAGCATGGGTGTTATCTGCTATGGCATTAACAACAGGGCAGAGTAACAGGGTGGAGTTGCTGGTAATCTGAGCTGCAGTGCATAGCCCAAATAATTGATATTAGCTAAGGATTAAAAGATGGGGTGGATATTCTTACAAAGGGTAGATGAGGAGTGGTGCCAGTGCTGCTGGAAATGGTGCTGTGAATGTTTGCATTGCAACCTGGAGGCTTGCAGGCAGCCGGATACAGCATCTCTGTGCTGGTTGGTGTCCTCCTGGAAAGCCACTCCTGACTGCCTTTCCTGCCTTTGGGAGCTCATGCTATGGGCCCTTTGCATCTGTTGCCTGCTTCTAACAGTGCTACTGAGGTAGCAGCAAATTCTTCAGGTAATCTGTTAAGATTTTCCTGTTATGTAAAGCTTATGTAGTGGGTGTCTTTCTGTCCAGATGTCAAAAAGTCTGGCACAAAAGGGAGTCACACCAATTCTTCAGTGACCCATTTTCAGATGTGATGCTCACATCTGTATTACTCCAGTTTTATGCCAGTATTGTGCCAGCATAATGTTGGTGATCTCACTAAATATAAGATTCAAATTCTGCATGCTCCAGAGTGCTTGGTATTGCCCAAGATTAAAAGTAAACTCAGACATAAATGGTTTGTGTCATCATCAAAATGCTCATGTTCCAACTGCCCTGGGAAAACAGGGTAAGTGGCACACAGATGTTTAATTGTAAATTAAGGTCTTTAGTAAAGCTTGTATACTTCTCACTCTTCTAGACCAAATATTTGCTACTGATGTAACTAGTAATATTCTGTTCTTGGTTTCCTCTTTTTTGTTTTTTAGGTATTGTTTTTTTTCCATGGGTGGCTCTAGCTAGTTCAGTAAACACTGGGCTTTGGAGAAACAAGCTGCTTTTTGGGGAATGCTTTTGTTGGTAGATCTTTTTCATGATACAAACAGGCTTCATTTCAAAGTCTCTTGTGTACGATTAAGACTTCATTAGCTGTTCCTGGGGTCAGCTGACAAATTAAGGCTAGTTTATAGTGCATCATGCAGTATAAGGAAGCACTGGTTGAAATAAAAGAAACACAAGCCCTCGCTGTCTCCCTCCTAGCTCAAATGAGACCCCAGTGCTTCATGATTCCCGTGCCCTTAAATTCACAGGCACGACTTGCCCGACGAAGCTATACTTTAACCAAAAGCTGCAAACTGGCTTATCTTCAGTCTGCTGCTGAAATGGTTTTGTCCTGGTTAAACTGTGTTTGCCATCTAGTGGCAGCACCCTGCAGTAGAGCATCCTCATCCGATGCACAGGGCCGGGGATTGCCAGTACCCCAGGGCGCCTGGAAAGCGCTGGCAGAGCAGATGCGTCTAGCTTTTGTCAGCAAAGAAAACCCAAAGGTGGGCTTTAAGAAAAGCCCCAAGCAGTGCCACAATTGCAGCTTTTGTTCTGAATCAGATCATGGTTATAGAGTATGGCTTAGTCTGGGGGAAATCTGGGAATGAGGTTTGCGGGTTGTGATGTATTAGTGATATACTTGCCTTCCTTGAGTGATAAATGTTTTTCTTGTGCCCTGAGCTTCTTCCAGCCTTTGTGATGTTTCTGGCTTCTAAAAACCAGGATGAAGTGAGAACATCATGTTAGATTTCGGTTTTCTGCCTGTGATAGCTTCGTAATCTTAGGCAGTTATACACACCAGTTTCAAGCAGTATTGCCGTGACTGGGCTATGGGGTGCTCAAATGAGTGACAGACATGATCTGTAAAACAATCGCTATGCCCTTGAACTCTGGTGAAAATGCGTTTCTTTTCCTTTAGCTTCTTTTGCTATCTGCTTCTCCTCCTGGCAGCCTGAACACGCACTGAAGTACTGCTGGCAGGTGATGAAGATATGTAACTGGAAATACACTTCATACTTTTTTGCTCTCTTAAAATTTGCATAGTAGCTGTGGATGAAAACCAAGTTGGTTAGTGCAAGGAAAGTGAAAACAGGAGGCCTTCACCTTGCAGGAAGCTGTAATATTTGCAGGCTAATATTCCCCCATACTCTCTTTTCAGGGAAAACAAGCGTTTCCGAGTGTACGTGGTGATCCCGCTGCTGCCTGGGTTTGAAGGAGACATCTCGACTGGTGGGGGGAGTGCACTGCAGGCCATAATGCACTTCAACTACAGGTACTGCAGGCAGCCCTGCTGCAGGCAGGCTGTCAGAGACCTCCCTCGTCACCTCTGCTTGCTGCAGGTGGTGCCCAAGGCTCCAGCCGCCATCCATCCACGCAGCATCACACTAGATGCTGTCCCCATGCACACAGTGTTTGGAAGAGCAAAAAACTATAGCTTTCATTTAGTACTTATAGCTCATGCATTTGCCAGCCTTAGGGTTCGCATCAGGAGGCGAGGCAATGCTAGCTGAGTTGGGGAAGTGCGGTGGGTAAAACCCAGTGCTTTCTGCAGGCAAACACCCTCACAGATCTGGGGAAATCCCACTCTGCCCTGGCACAATGGGTTCCCCAATCCTTTACACAAACCCACCAATTCCTGACTCTCAGTTACTGTCCATGTGTGGCATAACATTTTCATTTTAGCTCATCAGACCAGGACCTCTTCATCTCTGAGCTCTTTACCCTCCCACTCTACAGTCATGCTCTCCTGTAGGCACTTCCCATGGTGCTTGTTACAGTTCCTTCTGGCAGCATCCCCATCACCACTGGAGCCAGAATGGAGCTTGCAGTTCTGTAGGTTCCTTAGCCAGGCTTTGTCTCCAAATCTGCCTTTTTGGCCAATACTTTGCCTGGCTCTTGCTAGCAACAGCATATTCCCCAATGTCATTCCCCTGCTCCAGCATGGATGTGTCTGAGGGACTCATGCATCCCTAGTTGCAAGCCTCATGGGAAGGAATGAGACACAGTGGTGCCAGGTAGCCCTGTGCTAGAAATGGGCTGTAGAGAAAGGCAAAATGGTCCAAGGCAAGATGGTTTTACTGGAAAGCTACTGTGTTGTGGTATGTCTGTGGAGACAGAAGAAATCTTCCTTGTGCAGTAGGATCCCTGCAGACCAGCAGACATCCAGAAGGATGAGTGGGACAGGAGACACAAGCAGAAGGAAAGCAGCATGTCTCTCTAATTAGGCCCTTTTGCCTCAGCTTTCTTCTGCAAGGGCAACCACAGGTCTTGAGAAATTGCCCATGGGTTGGGCTCTTTTGAATAAGATGCAGGCTGTGGCTTTTCCAGCCCAGCCATACTCATGCAAACTCCCTGACCTGGTGTTCTGCGCATGTTATTTTCTTAATGCAATTTCACATCCAGACCTGTGGCACAGACAGTAGCACCCCTGTTTGTAAGACATTTATCATCGAGGTGTGCTCTAGAAAGCAAAAATGCTCCCCAGCTCCTGTGCAGATTGGTACGAGCTCTTACAGGAAATGAGCAGTCCATGATACATCAACAGTCATTCAGGGAAAATGTGTGTTCTGGAAGCACCGTGTTTCTTCTGCTTGCACAGGGTATTTAAGAGGCATCTGTGTTTGTGATTTACCTTGCCTGGTTCTGCTTCAGCATATGCTGTTGCCTTGAGTCACGGTGGTGCTGACGGCTGCCTACCTTCTTTCCAGGACCATGTGCCGAGGAGAAAACTCAATCCTGGGCCAGTTGAAGACAGAGGGTAAGAACTTTATTTTTCTCCTCTATGTTTTTTAGTCTTGGGTTGCTGCTGTTCAGTGTCTATGTCTATGACACATAAATCAGATTCTCCAGCTTCTTATTAGCATGGCTTGCTGTGACTGGGGCATCTCATAGCGTCATGTGCTATGGGCTCATGGGGCTGGTGAATGACCTCCCTCTGCTGTTATCCCATGGCAAGGTCTTTTGGAACATGCAAGCTGTGGCCAGTTGTCAGACTTCATGCTTGGATGCAGCCCTGATCTGGAGGAGGGGAGGACCCCAGGGAGAAGACAGCAGAGGTTGCAGCTGCTCAGGATCGTGTTGTTTGAAAAATGTCCTGGGGGCCCGCTTTTGGGAGTGACAAGTCTTCAGCCTCCCCTGTGAACCCCACCCTGCATGTGTTTCTGTCAGTTGTCAAACACAAAGAGGGAAAACCTGCCTAAGCAGGATGCTGTTTCTGAGCTGCTTCCTTGCTGTGAGGGTGCCAGCTTGAAATCAGAGCACCATGAAAGCCTATATATCACAAATACCAGGGGTGTACATAATGCCTCATTCCTTCTGGGTCTTTGCATACATCTGAACTGCAGAGAAGTACATTAGGACATATTTCCATACTGTGCATGGACAAAACACCTGCTTCCAGCTTCCTTTCTGCAGCATTTGCAGAAGGGCAGTCGCACGGTCCAGTTATTTTAAGACATTTGGATCAATTGTGAGGACTTGGCATGCTGCACAAGGGAGATCGGGGGTCATTTCTTGCCATAGTGGAAGTATTCAAGCAGGCAGTGGATCAGAGCAGTGCAGGAAGCCCACAGGCAGCTTGTAAAGTCTATTTATGAACTAATTTCCATTATCTGTTTCTTATTTAAGTCAAAAGTGAATTGTTATTTATATGGGTCTTTTATGTTTCTTCTCTTTTCCACCTTCCTCATTCCTCATCTTGTTTAATTTTCAGTTGGAGATAAGTGGATAAACTACATATCGTTCTGTGGACTTCGAACATATGCTGAGTTGGAAGGAAAACTAGTCACAGAGCTCATCTATGTTCACAGCAAGCTGCTTATTGCTGATGACAACACAGTTATAATCGGTGAGCAGGGGGCCTGTGGGAGGGGTTTGGAGCACTCAGTTATATCTGCATTAGACCCTTCATTTCTCTGCCCCGTAATCAGTGCAGGCTGTGGTGCTGTGTGCTTTTCTATGCTGTGATTTCTTTCTTGTGAAATATTTTGTTGTTTAAAAAAACAACCCAAAGCCCAGATGCGTAAGTTCATCAGGAAGGTAGGTAGGAGGGAGGAAAGGATCTGTGGGACTGTCATTTAATTTGTTTTTGTAAAATGGCTTTGAATCTCAGTGTAACAGTGAAGAGAATCCCAGTGCAGGGAATATTGTCCATCTGTCTTGTATCAAACTGCTCTAACAGGAAGACTTTTTAGACTTGTCATCTGTTCCTTAAAGAACAGAATGTGCCGTAAAACTTGGAAGCTTTGGACAACATGTGTCATTTATCAGCTCCATTTCCTAAGAATGGCGAAATATGTTATAACAAGTAATAGATAACATTTCATCCATTTTCTCTTTTTTTACCCTATTTATTATGAGACCATGCAGCAAAGACAAGAGACTTCAGGCTCAGAGCTCTATATCACAGCAGAAAAGCAGTTTTTTGGCCTGTTCCTTTGAAGAAACCTTTTTTTATCTGCTGTGTCAGCAACAGAAACTTTGCCAAAAAATAACTTAATACCAGATTTTGTAGGACTCGGAATACTTCCTTCCTTCAATGCAGCAGTTCAGCTGTAGTCTCGGATGACCTGTGGTTAGGTTTGCTCCTCCGTTGTTACCCTCTGCGGGGTCAGATCTCATCTCCAGTACACAGCACAGCTCAGAAGTGGTTTCAGTGTTGCAGCAGGAGCAGTGACTTTGCAACTGTGATCTGGGGGAGGGGGCTGAGACAGGTCTTCTGCTTTCTGTACCTATAAGCCTGAGGATGGATTTTTAGGCAACATTTGCATCTGTGGCAGCTGATGAGAAGATGGGGAGGCAGTGTCATCCCTTTAACACTCATGAAAGACCGTGCATGGAAATAAAATGCTAATGGGACCACTCTGCAAGAGAGAGGCTCAGCTCATTTTTCCTCTGGGAGGAGTGAGGTCCTCTTGAGTCAGTTCAGTCACTGGGAAGGCTAAATGGCTACCTAGTGCCTGAGGGTCTCTTCTAGAGCTGGGGGCTGTTTGGTCATTTCTGTGGGTTAATGACCTGATGACTCCTATTGCTGGCTGCATCTTGTGGTTCCTTTGGAGCCAGCAAGTGCTGTGGTGTCCCCAGTCCCTTTCTTTCTGATGGTTGCATGAGATGCAGAAACTGGTTTGAGTATAAAGCCTCACCTGTTCTTGAGCAATGCTATGGGTGTCAGGTCCTGCAAGGGGAGCTCTCAGCACTGTGCAGAGTCAGGGCTGGAGCCACCACGCGGGGCCAAGTACATACAAACCTTTACATGAGCATGGTGATGCATTTTGGAGAGGGACACCCCCCCCCCCCCCCCCCCAAAAGGCATGGCCAGAGCCATGCAGTAGAAATGCAACAGGACAAATGTCTGCTGCCCTCCAGCAGCACTGGGGACAGAAGTGGTTGTTTCTCAAGGTGTGAGCCAGGAACTGTGCACAGGACACCCATGGGTCTCCAGCACTGGGGAAGGGGGGCCCTTTGCAACCCTCTGGAAAGCACACCTCCACTTCCTGGCATTTGGGTCTTGCACAGCATGCGGTAGCAAGCACAGGGCAAGGAGTAGAGAAGAAACATCTCTTGTAGTGTGAAAGTCCTGCAGAGTCCTGGGGTGTTCTGCTGCCTTGCTGCATCAGCAGGGATGGTGCCTGAGTTCTTGTGTCTGCAGACACAAACTGTGGTCCTGGCAGGACAGGAGGCTGCCTTTGCAGACGTGCAGCCCACAGCAAGGAGATGACCTTCACAAATGAAAATGAAAAGCTTCCTTTCTTTGCATTACTAAGGATGAGGGCAGATTTATCCATGAAGCCCATCCTGTGTCAGGTAACCTAGTATCCAAACCAAATGCAGTTAAGCCCTTTGAAAGCTGTGGCATCCTTCAGCAAAAGTATCTGGGAAGTTTCAGAGAGAGTAAACGTTTAAAAACGATGGCCTGAGCTTGACTATGATTTAATCTTCTTTCAAACCTGGAGCATTTGAAGCCTGCAAAAATTAGTTGGAGATTTTTCCCCTTCCCCAAATCCTGGCTCTCAGGGTCTGTGTTTCCACAAGGAAGACCTCTGGTGTGAGGGCTTTACCTAGTGAAGCCATAGATGGTCCCCCATGGAGATGAGAGATGCAAAGGGTGGTGATGAAGGGTGTGCAGGAGCATCCCATGCAGCTGTGGTGCCTTACCGGTGCTCTATTCTCCCCCTTGCCAGGCTCTGCCAACATCAATGACCGCAGCATGCTGGGAAAGAGGGACAGCGAGATGGCCATCATCGTGCAGGACACTGAGACCATCCCCTCTGTGATGGATGGGGAAGACTACAGCGCTGGGAAGTTTGCCCAGTCCCTCCGGCTGCGGTGCTTCAGGTGGGATGCACAGGGCTGGCAGTGAGCAGCATGCAGGCAAGGCTTGCTCAGGCTTTTGCCTGCCAGCAGCCTTTCAGACAAAAAGAGTTGCTGCCTGCTCAGGTTTAGCATTGCCTGCCCCGGATTTAGCCCGGTCTTCTGCTGCTGTTTCATTGGGGTTTCTTTTTTAGCTTCTCCCTCCCCATTTTCCATCTGGACAATTATTGCCCAGTAAAAGAAGTAGAAAATTGAGCAGCATTACAGCTGACAGACTATTGCCAGGGACAGGAGCAGGAGACTGCTGGGAGCACACAGGGTTTGGCAAGTCCCAAGGAAATTTTTCATCTCCTAGCATTTCTCAAGAGGGGGAATACCCAGTGCTTGAGCTTCCATGAGCATCAATTGCTTTATCTTCTCAGGGTTGTCCTTGGCGGCTCTGATCTCAGTCCGGAACACCAGGATCCTGTGTGTGACAGATTTTTCAAGGAGGTGTGGATTTCTACAGCAGCTCGCAATGCCACCATCTTTGATAAGGTGAGGAACAGAACATGATGCCTTTCCCTTCTCTCCTTCCCATGCAGCAGCAACAGATGCCAATGGGAGAAGCAGCACAGGGAGAGCAAGTGCAGCAGGTCCAGCTCCTGGGGTGGGACCTTCAGAGATGTTTTCAAGGAATGAGTAGTGTCAGATGGAAGAGCTGTGAACAAGGCACTGGAGTTTGTGCATCCTTGAAATGTGGCAGCAGCCCAAGAAGGCAGCAGTTCTGATTTCTCCTTTTACTTATATCAGCTGTAGCTCCAGTGAGTGGCTGTGGTGTACTTACTGCTTCTACTTGGCGTAACTGGAGTAGAAGCAAATTTTACTTCTGTTTTTTAATGAGCTTTTGCAGTGATAAGAAAAAGCCCTGGAGCTTCCCCTCTGCCTGCTCCAGCCGTATCACAGATAGGCACATGCGTCTTCCCTCCATGTTCTCCAGGCTCTTAATTAAGTCACTACCATCCCAGGGAATTTGTATTAGATGTTTTGGTCCTTCTCAGGAGCTCTGCATTGCAGTATTTCCCCTGCACTGACATACCACTTTCTGTTTTGATCAGGTTTTTCGATGCCTTCCCAGTGACCAGGTGAATAATTTAACCCAACTGCGTGATTTCATCAACAAGCCCAAATTAGCGAATGATGATCCTGCGAAAGCAGCAGAAGAATTGAAAAAGATTCGTGGGTTTTTAGTACAATTCCCCTTTCGTTTTCTGGAGGAAGAGTACTTGCTTCCCTCCGTTGGAACAAAGGAGTCCATGGTACCCATGGAGGTTTGGACTTAAGAAGACTGCTTTATGTTTTAAACTCTGGTTCTCTAGAGACAAGTTGTTGAACATTACAGGATTTTGGAAAGCCTTTTATTGCTGAGAGAGGTGACAGATCTCCACCAAGCTAACGTGCCCTTCTTAAGGATTTTGGTGGAGGAACTCAAAGCAAGTCAACACTAGCAAAAGAGAGGAGCAGAAAGACTTAGAAATTATGGCAGATGAGACGTTTAACCTCTGAAGGAGTTACTTCTTATGGCATGTTCTGAGTGCCTAAAGGACGCAGGCCACTTCCTAGGACAAGAAACAAATCCCAGTTGCTGTTGTTACTACTGCCAGCTGTATACTGTGGTTGCATACGTACTGTGATTGTGCTGTGGCTGTGCAGGAATGATGGGCTGCATGTGCTTCTAAGGCTTTCGGGTATCTGCGCCTTGGCTTGCTGGAGTCCCCCATCTCACCCCTTTCATATGCCGTCAGAGCATGACATACAACTCTGATGCTGTCAGGAAGTGCTGTTTGGTGCTGCCTTGGGCTGTCCTACCACTTGCAGGTGTTTCACTTCTTAAATGGAAATGGACTAAGAATCTTGTATCAGAATCAGCATGTTTTCATCAATGTTTCTATCACAGCTACAGCAATCAGCAGTCCTCACGTGCAGTGCATGGCACTGCCTAGATCTTGGCAAAAGGCAGCCTCAATGGAGCCGGAGTTGCTGAAAATCACCAGAGTTTGCTGGCCTTTGCAGGCATGTAATACATCAATTTGTTGAGACTGAGTGTGAATGCTTTCTCCAGGAGAGGATCAAGGTTTAAACTCAAGCCTTAGATCATCTCTGGAGCTTAAAGAGAGTGAGGCACTGCCTGTAATGGGACAGAAACTCGAAACCCCACCAAGCTCTGTGCTCTGCATCCTCCATTCATGCATTTAATTTGCAGTACATAGATAGGCTTTTCTTTCCATCCCTTTCTTCCCTTTTAAGGAAGAGAAAGGCCATTAAGCTAGAGCTGATGCCATGCTCAAACTGAGCAGACGTGTTGCTTCGTAGGTGGGATGTATATAAGGAGGAAGGGAAGCAGTTAGCAAAGCCTTTGCTGTGGTCTACTTTGTTATTAGACCAGCCACAATCTTTGAGCTCAGCCATGCAGGATGTGTCTTCCTAAGCACAGGGAAAACTCAGCATGCCCATCCCTGTTTTCCAGTTCTATAAGACAATTTCCAAACCTATGTTTTGCATCTCGCTGTGCAGCGAAGCAGCAATTTCACTCGGCATCCCTAGGCAAAACGCCGCCACTCAGGACCTCATGTGGTGGGTGCTGTCCTGGGTCTTTGCTCTACCTGCAGTAAGCCATGTCTCACAATTTCATGTCCAGCTCCAACTGCAATCCCAGGAGAGGTGTTCCTTGGCAGTCAGCAGTGCCATGTCAAACACTAAGAGCCTGGACTGTTAGAAATGCCTAGTGAAGAGTCGTACCTGGAAAAGTGGGAGGCTGAGCTCCTCGGCTGCTGTGGTGTATGGGGGAAACCCTTTGCTAGCTGCATTTAACCCTGTGCCCAACAATCCTTAGTCAAAAGACCAGGTGAACTATTTAATTCACAAGCAAGTCTGGTTTTATCTCTCCTGCCTCTTCTATGGTCTTACTCATTTTTTTAACTGGAAAAGAATCACACCAGTTGCCTAGCTATTCCTAAAACATAGCTGGCACATTTTAGCTGATTGCCTTTGGTGTCTTCAGATCTGTAAATAGGAACCAGATAATTCTGTACCTACTGCATCACCCAAGTAAGTAACAACTCCAGGCATTCTTCCAGCCCTTTCCTACAGTTCCCACTGTTTTACACTTATGTTTTGTAGATACAGTTGCATATTACACTCCTTTCTGGTCGGTTCATCTGTGGTCTGGCTAGCCTGATGGAAGTGCATGCGCAGCATTTTATGTGGTGATCTTTGGTCCAGGGGTTGGTGCTTTTAGCTAGTGCACTGTTAGCAGATAAGTAGGTTCCCTTGATTTTTGATTTTTCCCTTAAAAATTGACCTGGGGTCACCCCCTGCAGAACCAGAGCAATATGTGCTCCAACCATTTGCAATCAAGAAAGATCAAAGTTCTCTTGTTATTTTACATCAGTGCAAGTTCAGAGCTTTCCTCTCCTGATATGTTTTTAGCTGTTTTAGTTTGAACAAAGCTGCTAACTTGAAACAATTACAGCCTGTCAAAGAATCATTGTAAGTCACACAGATCTGTATTCATAGTTGAAAAGGAAGCATTCAACCCTGCCACCCCTACATGTGAACCTTGAAGTGCAAGACTCCTGTCATCTTCTAAGTGCTCTTATTGTCTCCATCCTCATATTAGCAAAGACTTTTGTAAGTGTTAAATTATCCTTATATTGTCTCTTAAAGTGGTAGGTAGATAACTACTGGGGCTTCATAACTCCAGTGGCATTAAGTCCCCTTCTGCCAGGCTCTTTTGGGGAAAAAACCACCCAAGTTCTGCAACACTCCACCCACAGCATGATGGATGCTGGTCCCAAGCAACACAGCAGAGCCATGGAGGAGAGGTTTAATTGGCTGATTATGTATGAAAAGGTGCTAATTAAGGTCTTTTGTTATTAAAATAGCAGACAAGCCTCACATTGGCTCTGTGTCCAGAAGCAGGTTTCCCTCCGTGGGAACAGAGGAGCTGTACTGAACATCCATGTGTTGGTGCTAAATTCCAGATACCAAGAATTTAGTAATGTTCAAATGCTGGCAAGGTGTGCAAGGCAGCCTTGGCATAGTGCAGAGAGCCTGGCATCCCCCAGGGCTCAAGGGGCCACTGAAGCCCCCCATGGTTGTGGCATTGCTCACCTCAAACAAATGCTGGGGCTAGAGCCATTTCCAGTGAAGGCACGCTTGTTTGCACACATAGGCTGTGCTGTGCAAAGCTGGCTCCTTGCATCCTGTCAGCTAGAGGTTTACTTCTTATATTAAGAAGCCTGTGAGATTGAGCGCCTTGACAGGGTTAATTTCTGCACCTAAACAATCACTACTACTTAGTCTGTAATACCAGTGTGGGTTTAATACCTTCAAGCTGGAGAGGATTGCTCGCAAATATACAGTACTGTAACAAGCAGTGTGGTTTCAAGCACTAGCAAACCCAGGAGCATGAACTGTTTCTTGTGGCATTTGTTTGTTAGATCTATAGGGAATGAGAACTTCTCCCAGGCTCAGTCTTTGTTTTGTAGTTCAACCTGAGTAGACCACCTCCCCCATAACCTCCTTTTAATTTATTCCTTAACACATGCCACTTTGAGAACTCGTACTCCTTGTCTTTTTAATAGTCTGATATTTTAAAATGTGTTTTGTTGTACAGCTGCTGGACTGGGTAAATGTTCCACTGCAAAGTTAGTGGATGGTTTAAAAAACAAGGGATAAAATATCATCATATGTTAGTACTTCACTGGAAAATGATTTGCAGAAAGACTACTCTAGTGCTCCATGGCAGATGCTAAGCGCTCAGCTCAGTTTCTGGTCTCTTGGTCTCAGTTTGTCACTTGACTTGATGGATGTGAGCTTGGCTAGATTAAACCCGAAATGCTCCATTTTCATTTCTTTTGATGAGGTTTCAGAACGTAATTTTGCAATCCTGGTGCTGTCCCTCAGGGGAGACCTTAGTGTAGGTTTTGCCTCACTGGGACCCTGATATTAATAACTTACAATATCTTTTTTCCTTCCAAGGAAACGCCCATGTACAATCAAGCTCGGATGTGGTTTTCTATTTTTATTTCAATGTAACAAGTCCTTTGTGCGTTGCGTTTGTGGAACATTGAAATAAAAGTCTGAATGGTCCTTTAGGTTAATGCCGTCTCCTTCTCCTGCCAAATGTAAAGACCCAAATCCCTGCTGGTCTAAACTGACACACGTCCGTCAGCTGCAGAGCTGCTGCAGTGGTTTTCTGGCAGAAAAGATTTGGTCTGTAGAGTGCAGTGATGGCCAAGGTGAGGAGAGCAAGTGGGCTCCAGACCAGGTACAGGACCAGAGGTTGGCCTGCAAGATGGGAATACACTCACATTTTGTGGCTTGAAACCAGCAACCCCTTCTGTGCAGCTGAGGTACTGCTGAAAGCAGGAGCTTTGCAGAATCGAGCCTTGAACCAGGAGTGTAACACCATAGCAGTGAATCAAATTAAGCATGCAAAACTAAGGTATATCAAAGTGGAACAGACCCGCAGACTATCCATCGACCACTGAATGCCATGATCCTCTTGGAATTTCTTTTCTTTCCCTTATTTTTTTTTAATTTCCTTCCCTGTTTCCTTGTTATATCTTCCAGTATTTGTGATTATTCTATTTTTCCCTCCCAGTATGTTTTCCTAAAATCTCCTCCATGTAAACAATTCCAACTTACCTCTTTCCTGACACATGGGAAATGGAAAAAATGTCAAAAGTCACAGTTCTGGGAATTGTTGGGATTGGATTTTTTTTCTAAATCATGTGTCTAGCTAAACTAATCAACAAAAAAGGATCTTCCACTTCAGATTTGTCTCTGTGCGTCTCTACCTTCCAACAGTGCGGTTGTGAACACTGAATATTCCTTCTGTGAAGGCTGCTGGAATTGAGTTTTGTGTCCTTGTTTCTGGTAACAATTGCTTTTCTTTCCACTCCATTTGTATCTGGTAAATGAATGTGTATTAATGGACTGAAAATACAACTGATCATCATATCAAAATGTTTGGCCTTGCTCTCATTTCTGCTTGTTTTGGGGACTGTGGGCACATTCTGCCTGTGGGCCAAGTTCTGTATCTTGCACTAGCAGTGATGTCCGAGCAGACAAGACGTGATGGAAAAGGAGTCAGAATTCCAATGAAAAGGGCAAGACTTGAGTCATTTCTCCTAGGAGAGAGAAATTGCTGGAATGAAACAGCACAGAAAATTGGACTTCTTTGATTTTTAAAATCCTGTTTTAAAGGAGTTTTAGTAATCCAAAAGCACTATGAAAGGCACAGAATTGTCTGTCTCCAAAACAGAATTAACTTGCCACTGTCCCCTTTAACTTTCAGTAAAGGTAATTCAGCATAGAGGAAAAAGCAGATTACTGTTGTCCTCCAGGGTGAGAGAGATTAATAACGCATCAGTGGCATTTCCAAGCTCTCTTGCAAGCTGAAAACATATTAACTTCTGTGTTTCTTAGGTTTCTCATCTCCTTCCTCAAATGCCAAAGGGCTCTCCGCATCTTCAGAACTTCCAAATCCAATCTGTGCTCTTGATAAACACAATAAACCAAGATAACAGAGCTGGAGCTTCAGGGCAGGGGTGTGCTGGTAGAACTCGGGGAGCTGCTGATTGACACTGTCAGCTTCTGCTACCGCTCCGACATCTCACAGCTAATTACATGCTCACTGCATCACACTCACGAGGACTTGCAAGCGGAGATAACAGCAACAGGAGGGATGCGGAGACCTGCCAGGCACTGCTGTGTGCAGAGAGGCCACTGGCAGCAGGACCAGTGCGAGGGTGACAGTTGTAGCAGAGGCAGGCATCCCTGGCTGTCTCCTGCTTGCTGGCATCACTTGGTTTTGATGCAAGCAGAGCAGGAGACCATAGCCTCTCAATGTAAGCT